GATTTGTATGGTTTTTCTTTTAAACAGGAAATAAAATACACGCACCGGCTGCACCAGCACATTATTCTTCCCAAACAGCAGCGTGGCTCTGGAGTTCTGGTGGAGCGACTCAACGTACTCCCTCACCCACATGAGAGGACGGTCGTCCATGCTACCACTGGACTGTCTCTTCTGGATCTGAGACAGATTCATACATCGTCACAAGTGTTACACGTCTGATATCACAAACAGTGGTTTATAGCTTATTGTTTCAGGGAAATCAATGAAGTTCTCCACTGTCTAACCAAGGCAGGTCGTCTGGAGGGAGAATCCTGCCGACAGTGGCCACTGTGGATGCGGTGTCGCTGCACGAGCTCGTCAGCGGAGGGGTCCGTCCAGAAGTGGTCTGCGGTCTTGACTTTGGTGTACTCCAGTGCACAGGGGCCAACTGTAAGACAAGTTGAACTGGTTTAAAGTAATAGTCAAGTAAGGTAGAGTTAAGGGTTTTACTATTTTAGTGTAGTCACACCATGTGCAGATTAGCGAGGTTTATAAATACCCAATAGAGATGCAAGAATTGGTCCATCCACTGGATCCATCAGCATGGCTTCTCTCTCATAGAAGGCACTGCAGAATTCAAATTGAGCATTTTAGGATTTCAAAAGGATAACTGAGTTTGTGTTTGCGTATCAATACTGTCAAGGAGATCTGTAAAATACCTGCATATTATGGGAGGAAATGTATATGTTAAAACTATTTAAACCATTTGTGATATCTGTAAAGGACTGATTTAATGCACTGTTTAGGGTAATGATGGTACTGAAAGAGGATTATCTGAGGGGTTAATGTACTAAGGCCACACAGACGTATAAATGCATTTAATGATGTGTATAAATACCTGCTGTTCTCTACCAAGTACAAGACAATCTTGTCCAGCAGCTTCTCCATCAGTGCAGTTCGGATCCACAGGTGTTTCAGCGCCTGAGGGGGGAGGTTGCCCATCTTAGACTGCCGACTGCGGTCGTTACCCAGTGAGGAATTGTTCTGTTTGCTGGAAAACAGGAAATAAACCTGACAGATGAGATGTCCATATAGAAGCTCATTACTATGCAATGTGGCACGTACAGTAGAAAGCAAAAAGATATACAAGACTAAAACAGAGAGAATGTGTTTGATGTTTCAGTCACTGGCCTCTCATCGGTCGGAATGTACATTTCACCTGTTTTCAATGATCTGTTCCAGCTCCTGGACCTTGTGGCAGAGATCTTCAGCAGGTGAAAAGCTTTTTGCCACCTTCATAAAAAGTGCTGCAACCTTGTTGCTGCACAGCAGGCCTGCAATACGGCGTTTCAGCCCATGAAGCATGCAGGCCTCCACAACAGCTACACACAAACACACAGAGTATTAGTATATTCATTTGGTACCCAGATTTGGTCTAGATTTTTATTTTTATTTCAGTTCATGCAATTTGAGGTGAGATCTTTCTTTTATTTGGCATGAGCACGCTATCATTTCCACTCTGTGAAAACCTCACGCCTTTATAGTTTCTACAAAAAAACAGGTGACAGGCAAGCACAGGTGGCACAAGTAGAAATAGACTCGGATCTGTCCGACACTGACTACTGTTGCTAGGATATGAGGGATGTGAATCACACATGCATCACTCCTGGTTAGTATCAACACCTTTGAAGGGTGTTCTACTTTAACGCAGTCCATCTTATCCACTTTATTAAATATAAACAGACATGGCTTATAACATTAGAAACATTAGAAAACATGAAAATAAATTGTGCAAGGATTTGCATCGCTTGAATTGAACAGAATGTAAAGGAACATTTTACACAGTGAGGATGAACACGTGGGAGTTGACAGTCGTGTCAACCATCACTCTGTACTGTACATGTGTGACCAATGCTGTGACCGCTGCTATTAGATACCACATGTTCTGTGTGATGATCTCAGAAATTAGCACTGATCCACTGAACTATTTTAGGTAGAAAACTATTTTTCCTACGAAGCATAAAACAAAATGATTCCACAAAAGTCTTAGTGTGCAGTGCAATCACGATAGAATAAATAGAAAAACGAATTTACCGCAGAAAGATATGATGTGGCTGCTGTCTGCATGCACAAACTTCCTTGTTACTGCCTCCTCCATAATTTGTTTCACCTACAAGAGAAGGAAACATGGTGAGACAAGACTTAATCTGTCTGACATAAGAGTAAATATGATACAAAGGACAATGATAAAGACACCAGACAACAGCCTTCCCTCAGTATCTCCATGCGCAACCATCAGCTAACCCAATTTTCTGGAGGGAGGAGGGTAATCCAGCAATTTATGTCAATAAAGACAGAAAACTCTTGAGAATCATCACAGTTGAAGCCTCAGAGGACTAAATATGCAGATTTTTAGATTTCCTCCAATGCATGGTTACATCGCAGTAGGAGACCCACCTGCCATTTAAATGTACACATGTTAATAGCATGTTTATAATGCAGGTTGTTTTTTTTTGCCTCCAAGACGAACCTAAAATAACCCTGATGTCATTGCTACGCTTGTTTTCTCAGACCTGATAAAACTCCCACAGAGCCACAGAAAACAATATATATATGCTTCTTTTACAGGCTGAGGAAGTGCTCCCTTATATGACTTTGATGTGTAAAAAGTTAAAGCAGAACAAGGAAATAATGAACTGAAACAGACCTGTCATAAAACAAGATGGGATTTTACTGCCTTATTTAAAAATTATTGTATTGTATGTAAAGGTATACTGCAAATCAGAGGCACACAGAAGGAGTGTATGTGTCTGTCTGTTGTATGAATTAATGATCTTGGACATTTAAAAACAAAACCTATCATTTCAATTCAATGCATGGATTTCAAACCCACAGCTCGCAGCTTTGCCCCTCCTTGCTGCAGAATCTGGTACCAGAGTCATGGATGTTTGAGAGGCAATGAGTCACAGGTGAGGGGGAGCACAATGAGCCCTGAAGTACAGGGCTTTCTCAGCAATGAATAAAACATCCTGTTTTTCTCTCCCTGGGGAGTCGTGGAGTCACTGAGCAGTTTGGAAGGGAGCACACTGCAGACCCTTCCAATTCCTGTGCAGATTTATTATCCAAATGGTTCATCACTGAGCGACACATCATCCGGCTTTGGTTGGAGTGTTTTGCATTTAATGGTTGATGGAGCACAGACATAATAAAGATGCCAAGGTCACACCTTTAAGTTGTGAATAATAAGATGGTGTGTTACAGGCATGCCAGTTTATCCTCAGAGAGAGAGAGTGAGAGAGAGAGAGAGAGAGACTACTGCAGGATATGACAAATAACCTGGTTTGCATGGATGGGAGTAAATTAATCTGCAGGTGAATTTATAGTTTTGTCCCCCCTGATATAACATCATCAACACCGCCACCACCACTACCATCATCATCACTGTTATCGTCATCATCACCACCAGCATCATCGTCATCATCATCTTACACCAGCAGTCCCCAGGATATAAAACCACAGCCATCTTACATGCATCCACCGTCATTATGATGTCAAATAAATGGTCATTTCTTTATGATAAACAGGCCTGTGTGGCGTAGTCGTGGCTCACAGCCCACACACACACACACACACACACACACACACACATGCACATGCACACAAACGTTGCCTGATCTCACACAAACTGCAACGAGGAAATTAGAGGGGGGAAAAAAGATAAATGAATGCATCGAACCTCTTTCTTCACATTGCGCAGCAGCTTCTGGCGCGTCTCGGCCTCTGTCACGGGAGAAAACATCATGATTATGCCGATCAGATGCTGAGGCTGTATCGGAAATTAATGATGACAAGCTCACGACGACAGGGGACAAATGATAATAACAGCGGTACCTCCCATCGCTTCCCGGGGGCAGGATGCGGCGGCTAACACGCACAGCTTCTCGGGTGGATGTCCAGAAAACAAGCGGAGGACGCACAGCCGCGGGTTTGGGAGGTGGAGAGGATCCGAGATGTGCGATGTGTTCTCATTAAACCTATCTGCTACCTCTCAGTGAACCAACACCCCTTTAAAGTCACAGTAGCCTATACATTAACCCTGACAACACATATACACTCACTCAACATATTAGAAATGTCCCCAAGACTCTCAATACATTTCGTTTTTTTTCTCTTTGCCATTTATTCCTGAGCATTTTCAGAGCCTGGTTATTATTTCCTCTCATGTGGAGAACACATGGTGATTGAACCTAAAGAGCCTCAGGTCAATTTAATCAAGATCTCATTAGATTAATCATCACAATTAGACAGAAATAATGCACTCCCATACAAACAGTCCCATTCATCTTCAATCATAATAAACAGGCTTAAAAGTGGTGTTCCTCCCTAATTTGATGCATTTTTGAAATTTAATTGACTGCAAATCCTGCACAAACTGCTTTGGCGATACAACATATTGTAATTAGGCTTTAGGCTTGTCTTCTTACGTATATTGTGGAGTTTTATTGAGATGGATGACGTGGTAATTCAAGCGTTTGAGGCCTCAGCTTGTGGTCTCATATACATTTAACAACATCAAGCTTTACCATCTGTATATACTCTAAATAGCATATGCTCAGCCATACTTTGCTCTAAAAGGCACTCCAAAAGACTTCCATCACTCAGGCATCACTCTATGATAGAGAGAGAGAGAGACACACACAGANAGAGAGAGAGAGAGAGAGAGAGAGAGAAAGAGATAGATAGATAGATAGATAGATAGATAGATAGATAGATAGATAGATAGATAGATAGATATTGATCCAGAGGGAAATGTATGTTATAATAAGGTAGCAACAAACATTGAAGGTCAGTTCATCAGCTGCACTTAAGAAAGCAACAGTACTCAAAAACTTAAAAAGTAATTTATTTTAGTTTATGTACAAATTCTCATTTTTATGAAATACATCAAATACATGTTGGTGTTGATTTGGACAATGTGGGCTAGTGTAATGTGAGGGGCAAGGAAGCAGGGAAGGAAGCAGTCGAGGAGGCAGTCGAGGAGGCAGTGTGAGTGTTGGGACGGGACACCGCTTTGTTCGGCGGTAGGGGAGGGGAGACCGACACTGTGGCTCTGCTAGGAGCGTTAGATCGGATCTGCTGGGGCGGACGACCCTGTCTCATCTCTGCCCGGCTGTGGTATCAACGCGCGGCTCAGACATTCGCCTTCCTTGCCTGGACTCTGAGGATCTCCGTCCAGGGATGTCAAAGCGAGTCCGAAGCAGGGAGGTCTGCGCTGATTGCAGCGCTCCGGGTAGGGATGTCAAACACAGCTAGCTTCTAACGTTAGCTGCCCGGCTAACCAGAGCTAGCCCCGACAACAACTCCACCTCCAGTTAGCCATTAGCCTGGTTAACGTAACTAAACGCACTACAATTAAGTAGCGGGTTGCTAGCTATGTGGCTAATTGTGGTGGTTTGCAAACAATTCTTCTCGTGGGAACGTGTGTTAGAATATTCCGCGTTTGTGTTGTCACAACAACTTGAAACTCTTAGCCTGTAATATCTTCTATGTTGTCTAATTAACGTTGGGTTAGCTCAATTAGCTAGTTCGCTAGCTCCCCCACGTCTGTTCTGTGTTTGTGACTGATCATGTTTTGGATATTGGGAAGCTAACCTCGGGGGTGTTTATCTGTGGCTGTCAGTTAGCCAACATCTTCGTCTGGATGGAGTTCATGAAATATCAAGAAGCTTTAGTTTATAGTTTAGTGCATCATCAGTATTTAAACTGAAGCGTTAAAGGTTCAGTGTGTAGAATTTAGTGACATCTAGTGGTTGGATGTTGCCGCTCCCGATGTAAAGATGAAGTGTTCAAATATAAAGCGTCCAATCTAGGGTAAAGAGAACCATTCTTAAAGTTCACACTTGTGAAAACATCACTAGGATTATTTTATATTCAGTTTCTGCCAATAGATCCCTTTCACCTAAATCTTACACAGTGAACCTTTAACTAATACATGTCACATCTTCATCCAGAGCCACGCTGGGCTTCTGTTAACAGGGGGGTGTTGATCTGCGATGAGTGCTGCAGCATCCATCGAGGTCTGGGGCGACACAGCTCCCAAGTCCGACACCTCACCCACTCTCCGTGGCCACCGTCCCAGTTACAGGTGAGGGGACATGGACTCAACTCACACACACACGCGCACTCAACATCCAGATGCAAATGGGTAGAATCATTTATCATTTATAATATCCATAATATCCAAGTGCTAAAAACAGGTCAACTGGAATTGGTTGAGTTTCTTGAAGACGTTTCATCTCTCACCCAAGAGGCTTCTTCAGTTCTTCAGTATTTTATAATAATAGTAACATGCAATGTAGAGGTTACACAACCAAGACACACCAGTGAGGGACTGGGGCTAATGTAATAATAATTCATGTGATCTGTTTTGTGGTTTTGCTGTTTTAGATGGTGCAGACGCTGTATGGCAATGGAGCTAATTCCATATGGGAGCACAGCCTTCTGGACCCTTCCTCCTCAGTGAGTGGGAAGCGTAAAGCAAATCCCCAGGACAGAGTTCAGTAAGTGCTTTTAAGGATTTTGAAGTGTCAGTCCTGATTTGGGCATGCTTGTTTGCACTTTGAGATATATAATTGGCCCTCTGTACCATTGAAATGACTCATGGCCAGTTAGTCAGTCCACAGTGACTTGAAGAAGTTGAGGAGGTTTGATTTGTTAACATGCAGATAGGGATATACACAACAACATGAATTAGAATGGCAGTCAGCAGAGTGCCATACCTGTGGCAAGGCCCGTCAGCACTCTTACGAAACCACTTGAAATGAACTACATCCAGAATTTTTTCATATTCAGAGAAAGTGTTGAAAAAAATCCACACTAAATTTAATGAGCTTTTCCCTGAACCATGCAACAAACAAACGCAGATGAAACATACTTGACAGAGGTAACATCTTAATCGTGTCAACCAAATGGAATCAATTTGGCAATTTTGTTGATTGACTGAATGCCGATGAAAACAAGTAATTGTAAAGGCTTTTAACTCTCAGAATGTACTGTAGCCTTAGAAGACAATAAAAAATCCATAAGGCTGAGTTGTTATAAAATCATCCAGTGCCAAGTATAAACACTGTGTCGGTACGGTGTCCGGCTGATGGAGTAAAGATAAATAGTCGGCCACATATAAACACAGCCGTGCCAGAGCAAATGCATTCAGTCACCAGACAGATGCAGACGGAGAGTACGCAGTGCAGCAAGCATGAGGCAGCTATTCTCTAACTCAAATACAATGTTCACGATTATTGCTGTTTTATCTACTGCATCGATCAAAGAAACTTTCCCAGGGGACAAAGAGTTTTTTAGTCATTCAGTTGGAGGCAACAGCTGCTTCAACTTCTGTACTGATTCAGTCACAAAACAAGGAAGTAGTCTGCCACTGATATTAAGAAATTGATTGGGGTTTTTAACTTTAAATAGAAAGGTGCTTTTTGTTGTTAGCTTCCCCATTAGTTTGCTGTGGTATACTGTACTTAGCTCTATTTGTACAGAGATATAGCTGCTCAGATTACAGGGAGAATAGAAACTCTTAGAGTTGCTACTCTAATCTTAAAAGCTGTCTACCTTTAGAATCCTGTGTTGTGGTATGTCAGAATGTGGACTTGAGGACATCCTTATTTGAAATGTATTTTTTCTATGTTGTTTATCTTCTATGATATGGTCGTCAGTAGTGGAGCAGATTTTCAATGTTCTTGATTTTGTGACATGAGCATCTGTTGTTGTTTTCAGTCCCAACAAGACAGAGTTCATCAAGGCCAAATATCAAATGCTGGCGTATGTCCATAGAATGCCTTGTCGGGAGGATGATAGTGTAACCGCAAAAGACCTCAGCAAGGTGAGAAATTAATCTCTTCTTTCTACCTTTGTCATTCATCAACATTTACGCAATGTAAGACTAAACCAACATTGAAATAAGGTTTTAGGGAACAGTAAACCCAATGGTGATGTGTTAATATGCTGCAAGTTACTCCAATGATTGACCACTGCAGAGGAAGTGCCTTTTGGGCTATTTTTGTCTTTGATACTGGAGCACTCTTGTGACTTCACAAATGACATGATCTTTTTATATATGATTCTTAAAATTGAGGGCTGCTGTGTCATGGTGCTACTCACATTTTCTTGTACTTACACTATTTCACTCTCCTATTGGATTTGTGTATTGAATTCACAGTTACCACTCCATACAATTAGAGATGATTGTATATGAATATTATTCATGTCAATAACCATTTTAACAAGTAAAGTAACGTATCAAATAAATGTTTATGGCTGTTTTTGTATTTAAACATACACACTTTTGTCTATTTAGTATATTTTATATCTCTTTTATAGATAGATAAGTGAATATATAAAGATGGTGAATACTATAATATAGATGATTAAAACCCGTTATATATATCTACAGCAGGATAATGTGTGTTTATTGTATATATTTCCAGCTGGATCATATCACTCAGTTCTTTGCAGATGTCTTGAGTGTAGCCAACCCTGTTTGTGTTCACAATCCAATCAACGCAAAGCTCCTGTCAATCTCTTTTCAGCAACTACATTCCAGTGTTCGGACTGGAAACCTGGAGACCTGCCTCAGACTCTTGTCTTTGGGAGCACAGGCCAACTTCTTCCATCCAGTAAGTATAGAAGAATTAAACGGAAAAAAATGTTTTTGTGAGTTGACATAATATTAATCCTTCATCATGACATTGTTTTTGGACTCCCAGGAGAAGGGAAACACCCCACTACACATAGCAGCAAAAGCAGGTCAGGTGTTACAAGCAGAGCTGTTGGCAGTTTATGGAGCTGATCCTGGAGCTCTGGACTCCAGCGGAAAGACCCCCATTGATTATGCAAGGTAAAAATTGGTCTATATTTTCCATTCAACACTTGCTTACCTGTTTGTTTTACTATAATATGTATTTATGGTTTTAGCATTGTGAAGTCTAAACAACACTATATGATGCTTTGAACCTATACATTTTTTTGAGAAGTCACAATATGGAACTTAATGTTTTAAAACATTGAATTTTATTGTTAGGCATAGTACATGGGCCAACTCTGTCTCCTATTGTTTCTAGCTCTGTAATTTAATCTGTTCTGGCTACATAGAATACATAGATCTAGTTAACATTAACTAGAACTGCGTTACTGTCTATGTTAACATTTGTTGTGGAAGCTTCACTGAAACAGATGTAGCCCACCTCACTGGTGACTGTGCTACAGGAAATGACACACATCCTTTGGAGATTTAAATAAGTGAAAAAAACTGATGTGTTTATAATGTGTACTATGTTTATACTGAGGTGTAAATGACGATATTGCACATTGTGAGTAAAGGAAATAACACAGTTTCCAGCTGAAATGGCAGAAATATTAAGCATGCTTTGCACTACAATGAACACGGGACAAGCCCAGTGGCATTTTGACAGTTTAATTCAATAAGGGTATGACTAATGCAGACAGGAGAGGAAGGGATGATTCTTTAGTAAAATATGTTAACTGAGTCAGCTCACAAGTTAAAAACTAAGAAAAATAAGAGATACTTGAGCTGATGGCGATATGTCACGTCACATTTTACAACAAAGTCAAAGTCAAAATTGTATACTTTATAGTGGTGGGTCATCATGCCCAGCCAACACTCTTACACCTTCTGCAATCCTGTGCTCAATATTACAGTGTATTACTTCGAGCTACCAAACCAACTTTGTACCCTAATTGAGAAACATACTGTAGTTTTCTGTGACCTTCATAGACACGTAAAATAGTTTAAAGGTATCTCACCTTTTATTATTCCTAATCTGTGCAGACAAGCTGGGCACCAGGAGCTGGCAGAGAGGCTCATGGAGATCCAGTATGAACTCACTGACCGGTTAACATTTTACCTTTGTGGTAGAAGACCGGGTAAGTACATTATGCGTAGCGGCTGTATGGTATTCGGGAGCAAACGCCTGTGGTAATGACTTTCTGTGGTGTTCTTGTTTTGTCGTAGATCACAGAAATGGGCAACACTTCATCATTCCTCAAATGGCAGACAGGTAAGAGCTATGATCCAAGTTGAAACATCTATTATTTATAAAAGTTGGGTTCTTGTAAAGCACAGAAATCAATACCAAGTGATATTATCATCTGCAACAGGCCCCTGGCTGCTAGTTAATACAATAGTTTACTTTTAATTGTACATTATAGGCAGCATGATAGTCATTCACAATATGATTACAATCCTATTTTTTCGGCTGCATTGGATGGATAAGAAATAAGTAAGTATGTTACTTTTGCCATAGTTTTTTTTTTTTTGGTTTGTTTGCAGAAAAATAATTATTGATTTTTTTTTTTCGTTCAAAGCAGTCTGGATTTGTCGGAGTTTGCAAAAGCTGCAAAGAAGAAGCTGCAGTCGGTGAGACATTTTTACTTGGGATTTGCTGATGGTTCCAAAGTGTAATCTCTCTTTGTCACTTACTCTTCATTTGCTCCTAAACTGAAGCAGGAATTCTGCTTTATTTTGTTGTAGCTAAGTAACCATCAGTTTGAAGAACTTGCCATGGATGTTTATGATGAAGTCGACAGAAGGGAAACAGATGCTGGTAAATATTTCACAATTGGAAATCATGTATGTAACACTTTGTATGCATGTGTTTTAATTGTTATTATATGTTTTGTTTCAGTGTGGCTGGCCACTCAGAACCACAGCACACTTGTGACTGATACCACGGTTGTACCTTTTCTGCCAGTCAACCCAGAGTACTCATCTACCAGAAACCAGGTAAGCGTGTGTTGCCTTTTAATCAAACTTCAGTTGTCTGCCCCGTGTTCTCCTTTTTATGATTTGATACATTTGTTGTTTTTTTTCAGGGTCGCCAAAAATTGGCAAGGTTCAGTGCTCATGAATTTGCTACCCTGGTGATCGATATCCTAACTGATGCTAAACGACGGCAGTGGGGTAACTCCTGTGACAGTCCCAAAGGTAGAGTATGTCTTTCTGATTTTGTTGTATGGGTTTTATTATTGTTTGTATTGCAGTATATGTACTTATTTGGTAAGTACTCAGTTTGCAAATAAGATGCAGATAGTCAGTAAACGTGGACCATCTTAGCCAAGGCTACAATTGTGGACCATGTGTACAGATGTATATGTGGAAAAGCTGCATTAAAAAAACGTTTGCAATCTGCAAATTATCAAGAACCACATCACAGCCTGTTTTCTTCCGGGTGTTTACTCAAAGACAAAAGATTGTTAGGATATTAAAGACAAACAAGTCCTGAATTCTGGATTCAGTTAAGTTTAAATTGGTTCCTTTGCCTTTTGAATTAGACATCTGCCTTTAGCCAGCAGGGTTTGTTTTAATCATGGAACTTTTGATCTGGTGGTCTTCCTTCAGAGAATGTAGAGCTGATCCTTCAGGGAATAGACAGTCGCCACAACAGTGAGAGCCAGGACAATGATCAGCCAGATTACGACAGTGTTGCATCAGACGAAGATCCAGTCCAAGAGGCCACTTGTGGGGACAGCTGCAACGATGGAAGGACCAAGGTTAATGTTTGTGGGACCCTGCTACAATTTAAGATATTCAAACACATCGTCTTGCTTTACTGTTTTAAATTCATGCGGTCCAATGTCACATGATGTCCTGCAGAGCTCGGAGTCGTCTGACCTCTCTGATGGACCAATCACAGTGCAGGAATTCATGGAGGTGAAGAGCGCCCTTACTGCGTCAGAAGCCAAAATACAGCAGCTTCTCAAAGTCAACTGTCATCTCAGTGAAGAGCTGCGGTCGATGCAGAGCAAGGTTAGTGAATCCACATCCAATTAATAATCAAAGTTTACTTTTGCACTGCATATTCTTCTTTTGTGTATGTGCAGGTGATTTCCAGTTTTGAATTAGATGGAAGTACATATTCATTTTATCTTATATCTCTATAATAACAGGGCGGTCGCACAGTATTTATGATATTTACATCCTTTCTGATCCTTCTCAATTCCAGTTGCATTAGGATTATCACTAATATGCCTTTTGTGACTCCATTACAAAGGCTTATTATTGATTACATTTCTGTATTCATTTCACCCACATCTGCTTGTGAGTCTCAGTCTTGTGTTGCGTGTGCAGGATCTTTGTGTTACCAGAGACGATTAGTTATTTGATATCCTGTGTATGAATCATGTGTATGTGTTGCCAGGAAGACTAGAATTCTACATGAAAAATAAAATTCAATAGGGATTCTAATCCACAAGAGAAAATGGATGCTATGTTTCAGAATGAGTGAAATTCCTGTGGCGATAATTAGCTATCACCACAGGAATCCGCTATGCTGTGCAGTTTAACAGCAGAACAGGATTAAGTGTAACAGTTCTTTGTGATCTGAAACGGAGGATTAATACAGAGCCTCAAGTCAGATGACAGAAGTAATAATCCACAAAATACAACCACAGAGAATATTATGATGTTCTATTGCAAATCTGCAGAAGCATCAAATAGCCACAAGTCACAAACCACTATGTGATTATTAGTTTTGACGTGTGGGTGAATCACTAGATTTATCAGCTTGGCATTCAAAACGTCAATGATCTGGATCCAAAACATCCCCAGAAAACAATTCTAAAGTATTTTTTATTTAGAGTTCTCATTCTACTCGCTTCCTTATTGCTTAATATTACACAACCGTGGATTTCCCAATCAGGCCCAGCGATATAAATTCAGATCTGCACAGTGCCAGTTTTATTTGCCATGGTTTTGTGGAGCCTCCCGACCCTTGTCACGATTTTCCACCACCACTTAAATACATTGGTGAAAATATCCTGGTTATTCAGCAAAAACATAAACCATGGTGTGGGCAGTTTTTTTTTTTTTTACAATCATTCTCACTTCATTCACATATTTCCCAATCAAAATAATGCTTTGTCACTTACGCACTCATTTCTCGAGATGGCAGCATTTCATTTGGTTTTCTTCAATGGCTCAATGTTTGACACTTAATCTCTACACTTGATTCAGAGACAGTGTACTGACAATGAGCTGCCTCCTGCTGGTTTATTTTCTCTGTAACTACTCTGCTGATACAGATTGGCCGTATTAAATTCCAAACATTTAAGCAAATTTTCAAAAATCTGCTTTAATGTATTTGCATATTCTAAAAAAAATTAAAAAGACAAAAGCTCTGTTAAGAACTACAGGTAACAAATTTATTATTTTATGTTAGACTGGTAATATTCAGCTGTTTACGTTATCTGATATAATATAATCTGATATGAGGCGTTATATGATAATACACTAGAACAGTAGGTAGGACACCTCAGACAAGGCCCAACAATGCCTTTGTTCTGGATCTGTGCTTAAAATGTAATGACTTCTCTCTTGTCCCATGGCCCATCCTTCCACAAAGATTTGTAGGAATCCATCTAGTAGCATTTGAATAATCCTGCTGACAAACAAACCACGCAACCAACAATCAAACAAATGGACAGGAGCCAAAACAGAACCTCCTTGTTAGCAGTAATAATATTGACTGGAAGCTGAGCAAGGCATGTTTCTTATCTTCCGTTTTGAAAAGAGCTATGAAATGCTCTTGATGTAAATAAGGGCACCCACTGCTGCAGCAGTTTCTCAGTGGGGTCATACTTTAGTTGTCACTGTAAACACAGTGTCAGCATTTCATTTGTCAAAGAAACAAACCTTTTGTTCTGAGAAAAACTTTGAAGGGAAACTGAAAACAAAACAGAGGTGAAGATGAACCTCACATTGAATTATTTCTTTTCTCCTGGAGGCTTTGCTGCATTCTACTCTATTATTGATGTCTGGCCGAGCTTTTGTAAGGGGATCGGCCCGCCAGCTAAAGTTGCATTGAAAGATATTTTGTTCTCTACAGTTGAGCTCCCTGCAAACTGAAAACACAACCCTGCGATGGCAGACCCCCAGTGGACAGCAAAACACCCAGGGGCCCCTTGGTCGACATCCACCCCGCGGAGGTCGCGCCATATCGATGTATGAGACAGGATCTAATCCGAAGCAGTTCTCCCACCGAGCCGAAACAGCCAGGCATGAGGATGGAGTCGTTTTACAACCTTTCCCAACCAATGTAAGCACAGAGGCACCAATGATCCTGCTGGATTTGTCCTCACAAGACAAAATAATGATGCCTGGCTTGGGGCTGGTGTTGGTTATTCATTCATTCATTCATTCATTCATTCAATCAATCATTCATTGCATCTCAATAGAGTATGCTCAACTTGGTTTGACCCCTTTCTAGATTGGGAGGGGTCCTTTGGGGACGGCTGCTTCCTCCCTCCCTACCTTCCCCTCCTCCCTGTCCTGGTCGAGGGACGAGAGATCTCGAAGGGTTAAGTACCGAAGTTCCCCTCGGTTTAGAGGCAGCCCCGGGGGATGGTGAAAACCGTCCCTCTGCTTGACCCCACAGTCTTCTCTCTCCTGACCTGTGTCTTTTAAAACTGCTTTTTATCAGTATTGCGTGCCTGCATGCACCACAGTGCCTCTGCTGCCGTTCAGTTACCAGCTTTCTCTCTACGGTGAACCTCCACCAGATCCGCTGTTTGAATGATCAGACAGGAGCGTTCCATATCCAAGAAAGACAAATAAAATGGCTCATCACAATGTGCTTATTAGCCATAACCACTGATAAGAGAACTCACAGTTTACATTGGGATTTCTTTGCATCTACTAATTGCACCCCCTGCCATATGCATTGTTACACCACAATGACTTTGTCGTGTGTTTCTTCTTTTTCTCTTTATCTGCTTAAAAACAAAATGTCTGAAGGTGTGATTATGGCTTTGTTTTCAGACATGCATGATCCTGACTTGTGCCTACAGTTGCTCCTGTGATAACTCTGCCAACCATATACACTACATACTATCTATATATCATGATGCTAATCCGCTGATTTCTCTGCAGGGCTGTAGTTTGGAGGGACGGAGTACCATGCTGGAGAGTGACAACGACACTACACCGAACCACTCTGAAATGGAGGAGACTGGGTAAAGGCCTTTTTAAGTAAATTCTTTGTACATTTGTAGATTTTAATAAGCATCCCAAATTTCTTAGTTGAAATTTTATATCAAAATTTAAATAAAAAAAACAGGATTCATGCAGGATTAACTGAATTAACATGCTGTTAAGAGGAGACAAAGAGACTGAATAAGAAATGTCAGCAATTAAGTCTGAAATTAAATAAGTGGGAATAAATGTTTCTTGTTTCTGGTGCTACAGATTATATTATCATTGTAGCAAAATCTTCTATATTAAAAAGTCACATAAGTAGTAATTTTAGTTTGGGCAGATTTTTAAAAAGATGCCTTGATTGATACGAGTTAACAAATTGTACCCTATCAGTTGCTTATGCACACACGTACCTCTGGTTGTTCTTTTGTCATTTATGTACATGTATTACTTGCTATTGTCTTTGCTATTGGCAATTTGTTGAGAAGCTATAAAATATCAAGCACTTTAATATTACATCATGTTAGGAACGTTTTTATAAAACCAAACATTGGTTGACATCTAAATGGCTCTGAATTGTGACAGCCAGACTCAAATTGAGCTGCATTTTCTAAATTACAACCAAACTGCAGGATATGATAATCGTATTTTACTTCAATTTTACAGTCAGAAGAAAAAATCTATATTTTAAATAAAATCACTCTTGTTATAGACTGGACCATCATCTGCAGTTTATATATTTTCCCCCCAGAACTGGATGAACCAATGCATTGCAGTGTATAGAGCAGTGAGCAGTGACAAATGCAATTTCTTCTTTTGCTTTATAGAAGCCCTCCTTCAGCCTCTGATACTATGGAGCCAGAGGCGGAGGGTGAGGAAGACGCCACCCTGCCGTGCACAGAGGACGTCATCTGTAAGACAGAGCAGATCACTAAGAACATACAGGAGCTTCTGAGGGCTGCTCAGGAGACTAAACATGAAAGGTACTTTGTGATTATGTATAATTAATAAACATAAAGAGAATTATAGGCTCAAACATCAAGGATATTCCAAGATAAGATGAACAGAGCCTGGTGTTTTTGTAAATGCTGTAATCTCAGATTCAGCTTCTTCTAGGTCAGTGGTTTTCAATAGTCTGAGCCCAGGGCCCTACTGGTTGTCATTCAGTCTAGCTGGATAACTGGTAACTGATTATCATGGTGAATGAAGTCAGTCACTGAACACATAAAACCAGCAAAGCTCTGGTTCCAGAGACTTTGATTCACTGATTCTGAGCCTTGTGGACCAGCCTCTGTCCCAGTGTCCTAGAAACTCTCCATCTGCTGGGGGCCGGCCTTGTGTCATTTAATGCAGCTGACAGGAAACAAACACACATCACATGAGCATGTTCCCCTGTGATCTGCCAAATCCACAGAGACTTACTACAGTCACGGAGGTTTCCTGTTTTCATTCATGTGTTAATATTGTGTTTTTGTACTGTTGAACATTACTGCTCTTCATATTCCTCTGAGAATTTTAACAGTTTCTGTCATGTTGATTTTTTAAATATATAGAGAACATGCACAGTCTCATATGATGTTGTAAACACTATTTCTTTCTAATATGTTACTGGTCTGACGAGGCTTTCACTGCTTCATTAATTCCTTGTGTGCATTCGGAGGCAATAACAACCAGTCAAATCCCATTACCTGGGAATACTGTAAGATGTGTAAACATCCAAAATGAATTACAAATAACATGTGAATGAAATGTGCACCGTGAAAAAAAATATCATTGTCAAGAAATTTGACCTCCGACTGTTTTGTTTGAGGCTCTCGACAGGGGAGTGTGTGCTGTGGCTGTTTGGCAGCAGTGTTTCTAAATATGGCACATGAGTGGTTGATCAACCTTTTTTTTCCTCCATCTACATCAGCTTTCTGCCGTGCTCTGAAAAGATTTGTATGGCCGTGAAGGAGATGGCCGCCCTGTTTCCCAAGGTAGGATGACTCCCACCAACAGCTTGGTGTCCCCTCCCCCATGTAATTAAAGGATTTGTTGTTTGTTTGAAAACGGCCAAAGGTAATCTAAACTGACTCGTCTACATGATAGGGCTTGTTCATTGCATTACTTAGTTTTATGTTTGCAATTTATCGGATTACTTGGTTTCTTGTTCTCACACACACACACACACACACACACACACACACACACACACACACACACACACACACACAGTGCCCGTGGGGCTACTGACCACAACAACAGTGAATTTATAGACATTGTCATTTTTAATTTTTTTTTATCAAGTCTCCATCATCCCTCTTTTCCCCCCCCCAACAGAGGCCGTCCTCTGAGACCGTGCGAGGGTCTCTGTGTTTGCTCACTTCGAGCGCCAGCCGGCTGCACGGAGAGTGCCACAAGGCCGCAGATCACAGCCCGTGCCCGTCGGACATCCAGCTGGTCACCCAGCAGGTCATCCAGTGCGCCTATGACATTGCCAAAGCCGCCAAGCAACTTGTCACTGTGACAACCAAAGAAAATAACAACTAACTAAAACCCAAAGACCTTTCGAATGCGCTCAAAATACAGCTCATCAATGATTTTGCTCATTTCATCTTAATCGGTTCACACCATTTTTCTGTTTTCCCACATTAATAGTGTGATCATTTCAATACATTCCTTGAGATGGTGAAATCTGTACAAAACATATACAATGCAAAATTATGGAACATTCAACAGCGTTATTTCCTTGATGGTTGTTGTACCGTGACACAAATATTACAAAACAGGTTATATTCTTAACCTCACCTCATTAGTTGAAACCACACAATTTTCAAAAGCGCAAGGTGTGTTTATGTGCATATAAAACAATCAGCAAAACAAGCAGTTGAGCTTTTACATTGTACTTAGGTAAACACCAGAGGTCATCAGTTGTGCTCCTTGAGTCGTGTTTCTGTTGCTGACGTGAACAAAAGTCTGCAAGACACAGAACAGATGAATCTTAATCTATTCCAGTGACAATTTACTTTAGCCTTTTCATTTTTTTTTTAATGCAACAACAGTGTTTAAATCTTGAATCATGATGCCACTCGCTTAGATGTAAGTCTGTGTATTAAGCAAACTGGTTAGGAAACATGGTGTCAGTGCATTGAGCAGCATGTGAGTACGGAGTGTGTGAACTTCAATTCCATCCAGTCCCTTCGCTCTGGTTGAAGGTGTGTAAGTAAAGTTTCAGTCGTTTTTTGGAGTTCTAATGTTACAGCTATATATCTGGTGTATGCAAGTGCGTTTGTGTGAGTGCGTGTGTGTGTGTGTGTGTCACAGATGGCCCGTGTGAAATCCATTTTGAATCAATTTTAATAGTGTTATGCAAATATATAAGATGTATGTATCCATGTAATTCTTTATCAAAATAACCCAAATGCTATTATATTTATAAAGTGTATGTCATACCTCTAAGAAAATACCAATGTTTATTTTCATAAGCTTTTGTTTAACATGATGCTCCTCACAGGTTAACGTGTGTTCTGAGGTTTGGGACGTCTCAGCCTGCAGTTAGTTACAAGACAACTTGTGATCTCTTTGTTTCATTCGGTGTGGTGCTGTAACTCTGGTGTGTTAGACGCCGCCTGTGGTCGAATACGTACTGCCATGGTTTACAATCAGTGATAAAGTAAATGTGCCCTCTGAGTTAGAGAACCTGTTGTAGAACTTGGGTCCAATGTGTCACTCATTGTCGTGAGCCAGGTACGTTTGAGCGAGGGGTGGAAAGACGACTAGAATACCGTACACAAGAGGAGTGCAGTCACCTGCGTTTGAATGTATCTGTAAAATATCTCTTTCAAAAAAGTTGCACACATCGGTTACTAATGTGGTCAAAGAGCCAGTGTTGCATCCTGACTATAACCACTGAAATATAAATGTCTTCAGATCGATTCCTTAAGCAAATTCTCTCAAATTCATTGAACTTTTCAGAACGCCTTCTCATAAGGATGCATGGAGAAGGAAAAAGAGGTTCAAAGTAAAGTACAGAATTTATCATTAAAGAGCCATTTGTAAGTTTTGTTATCAAGAAAGCCAACAGACTGTTTACTTATGAGGTTTACCAAGAGCTTGAGCTAATGTTCACATTACATGAGGTTTCAATCTGTACGGAGACGATAAGGGTTAACGCTGGGCTTCATATGAGTTAAGTCTGTTAATTACTAAAGTATTAAGTGATCCTTTTTTCTCTCCTCAATCTGTACTCGAGGTCCTGTAGCTTTGAGCTTCAGCTGCATCGCATAGTCTGAGTTACTCAGTAGTTGTTAGCGTGCACATCGGCAACTGGACCTGCTCGTGTTTCTGCCTATGTACACTTGTACAACTGATGATACCGTGCCATGATGACTGAGAATCTGAACAGATATATATTTTTTGTACGTTTTGAAAAAGATATTTATTTTGTTCCTTTTTCTTGTAATGTGTGATGACAGAACTGTTTTATCATTAAGCACACGTTATTTTCACTTTCCCTTTTTTTTTAAAATGATGCAACAACCAGTGTTAATTTCACTTTTAATTAACTTTAAAACTTCATTGGAGAATTCTAAAGCAAGACCTTGTGACCTTTGCTGAACTGTGGCCATAACTAACAGGATCAAATGTGAAGGTGATGTAAATGTAGATCAAGGATAGTGTGATATCTTAATGTCAGTGAAACTAGTGGCCATTTAAAGCCAATTAGGGTAATTCAGTGATGATAATTTCAGTGCTGGTGAATTCAGAATGTCATTTGTAAGAGGAGGAAGGTTTTACTTTCAGTTTGCAAAGTCAGCTGTTTTTTTCTTTATTATTACAATAAATCATCAATCGAAACAAACACAACCTGCCGGGGTCTTGACAACATTAACTCCAGTGACTTAACGAACTGGTTGTAAAAAGGTACATGAAGTGTGAAGTGTTCAGTATTCAGTTGCTCTCCGCTCCTGGTTTCAGCCCTGACATTGAATTCCCTGTAGTGTGCCACGGTCCCTGTGGTTGAAAACACTCCCTGCCTCAGCTATAATAAAGTATAACTCGTACCTCAGCTCGTTGTGGTGTATTGTGTGTGTGTGTGTGTGTCTCTTCACACGGACGTGTTGAATTCCGCACCTGTTGGAGGAGGTTGCTCGGGGCTGAAGTTGCCCCCCCCTCCCACCCATCTGACAAGAGCTCAGTTCCGGGTTCTTTCTAACTGAGAGCTACCGACTCACCGCCGCTGCCTCAACCGGGATCATGTCGCTTTTACTGGACAACCAATTCAGTGAGCTGCCCCCTGACAGGTCCGTGGACACCAAGTTGTTCCTGGAGGCCGTTTCTCACCTCCCGTCTTTCTTCGGTGAGTATCAACCTTTTTCTTTTTAGCTGAAGTCGATCAAACCAACATAAAGTCACTGAATCGACGCTGTCCCGCTTCATACATGTCCCTCATGACATGTCCACGTTCACACACATGATCCGTCTGATGCAAAGAGGGAACCGGGTCGTGGGTATGTGCTGGAGCGCTGCGCGGCGCGGATCGGATGAGCAGATAGAGAAACTCTTTGTTGACTCGCTGAACACTGAAACATTCATTTTCTCCTCCTCCCCATTTGTATGCATCCTCCCCACGTGAGAGCCTGGGACGTGTGCTGAAGTCATTCACATTTCATTGCTCTCTCTCTCTCTCTCTCTCTCTCTCTCTCTCTCTCTGTCTTCCAGACTGTTTGGGATCAAAAGTGTTTTCAATCATCAAATCTGACATTAATGGAAATATAACGGTGAGATACACATCTGTCTGGAACCCCTTTTTATTTCCCCTCTGCTGCTGCACTGGTGTGTTTTCATGCCACAGCTGGCTCAATGCTGAAGCTCCTATTAGGTGATAAATCAACATTATGAGTTATTCACTCGTTATTTTGAGTTAGAAAGATTATTTTGTATACTACTTTTGGATACTAAGTTATTACTATTCGTTAGCAGGTCGTTATTTTGAGTTGCTAAACTGTTATCTTCAGTGAAAGTCCGTATTTTGAGTTAGTAAGTCATTATTTTGACCTAGTGATAATTTTCCTGAAATACTAGCTCATGATATTGAGATCTTCTCATTATTTTGAGTTAGTAAAACATTATTTACAGTAAAAGTCATTATTTTTGAGTTAGTAAAACATTATTTACAATATAAGTCATTATTTTGAGTTACTTACTTATTACATTTAGGTACTAAGTTATTACTTTGAGCTAGTGAGTAATGTTCCTGAAATACTAGCTCATGTTTTTGAGAAACTAAGTCTGTATAACAAGTCATTCTTTTTAAAATGTTGTCCTTATTTTGAGATACTATGTTGTTATTTTGAGTAAAAGTCATTATTTTGTGAAATGTTTGCATTTTCAGAAAATTAGAGCAGTCTACCTCAAGGATCCTGCGAAGTACAAGACCCTGCAGGACATCTTGGAGGTCGAGCGTGAGGCCCATGGAGCAGAATGGCCCAAAGTTGGAGCAACATTAGCTCTGATGTGGCTGAAAAGGTGAGCGCTCCCTAAACTCAATGCTATGACCGCCTGCTGTCTCAGGCTCATTTTCTAATAAGTACTAGGTGTTTCCTGCAGGGGTCTCCGTTTCATCCAGATCCTGCTGCAGAGTTTGGTGGATGGAGAAAGAGATGAGAACAACCCCAACCTGATACAGATCAATGTCACGAAAGCCTACGAGCAGGCACTGAAGAGATACCACGGCTGGCTGGTGCAAAAGATTTTCAGTGTGAGTAAAATGTTCTTTTTTAAATGTTAACGGTTTTTAACCAGTTATAGTAATATAATAGAAATTATGGACAAAGTCTGACCGTTGTGAAGCAGTTGTTCATCAGAGAAGGTGATTCTATCTGATTTTATCTCTTTAGCAGGAGACCTTGGAGTGAGAACTAAGTCATAAATCTGGTCAAGAAGACAAAGTGCAAGGAGATCTGGCGAAGTTACATATTAAGTCTGTTAGGAGAAGAGGTGCCCCTGGAAGATATGAGCCTTTAAGAGATAATTTAAAATAGAGAGAGACAGCCTTGCTCTGATGGGATTTGTTAGCTAGATCTGCCATCAAGGAAACACAAATGAGAACAGTCTGGACTGTGATTTCCTTGTGTGCAGGGATGGCGACGCCAGACAAAGTCCCTCGGAGGGGACGCAGTGGCCAAGAAGGAGCATAAGCCTGTGTGATTGAGTTCAAGTAGATGGGTTCAAACCCAGAGGTCGCTCTGTAGGCGAGCATTAGAGACTTGAATTTGATTCGGGCGGCCACCGTTTAACCAGTGGAGGTCGATGTGCAGCGGAGTGACATGTGCCCTTTTAGGTTGATGGAAAAGCAGAGCCGTCATCTGTGAGGGTTTCACCGGGCGTGAAAGGAGAACCGTTAGAAGGGCATTGAATTAGAGGAGGCGGGAGATAAAGTGGCCTGATTCAAGAGCTGGGTGGCAGACTAAGGCAGGAGAGGCTGGACTTTTCTTATGTTACTGTGCAAAGAACTCGATGATCAACACAAGATGGTCAGAGGAGGGTGGTTGGTGATTAAACACAACACTGAGGTTAGGTAGAGAGATGAAGAACTCAGTCTTAAACATATTTATTCCAACCCATTTCTAATTTTGTTTTGTTTTTTGTCCATTACAGACGGCATTATATGCATCTCCCTACAGATCCAACTTCCTCAAGGCGCTGTCAAAGGGAGAGGAAGTGAAAGAAGGGGAGTGTCTGGCAAACACGCATCACTTCCTGGTTAATTACACCGCCACTGTAGACGCCATCTACGAGATGTACACAAATCTAAACGCAGAGCTGGACTACACTGTTTGACGTGACTGGACCGAAGGTGCTGGAGGCGTGTCCTGAAACACTGTCCCATCTGTCAGCCCTCTCTCAGCTGTCGGACGAGGGCACTTTATCAGGGTTGTTTTCATTTTTTCTTTCAGTTTGGTATTTATTACGTTAATAAAACAAATTAATTCTGCAAAATCTTTGGATTCAAAACGCTAAAGGTTTTGCGTTTTGTCCTTTGTTTTCGCAGCAGTGCAGCTCTCGCGCTTTATGCAGGATTGTGTTGTCGTGTGGGTTGTTGCTTTATGTGAGTGTGGCATTAACTGTTGGCCTTCACCTGTTCCATTGAGAGAAGACTATTAGACTGTAAACACTGTTATCACTGCAAAACATTTCTGTCAGTTTGTGGTATTCACTGTGCCCTATGCCCGGGGGGGGGGGTCACCTCCGCTATTAACCTGGGAGCAGTTGTACAGTTTGTTCTGTTCTTTTTCACTCAGTGCCCTCATGGTGTCACTGAACAAAAACAGTGCTTTCAGAATAAGCCCAGAATTAATTTATTTGCCAGTAATTCAGTTTCAAAGAGAGAATTCGTTTTTTCTTTTGAACTTCTGTATCTTTCAAGTTTGTGGTGGTGTTCACTGTGTGTGTTGTTTCCTATTTATGTATAAATTAAACTTAATTCCTTTTACGTCAACACTTTACATCAAAATATCTTTTTTTTCCTACACATCTATTAAGAATTCATTCATTTTTAGGTTTATACAAATTTGCTGTAGTTATACTCAAAAATAAGTTATTTGTTTTGGTCTAGATTTGTTCTTATCACAAGATCTTAATGTTAAATTAACTTTTAATCAAACCAGTCAAATCACACATGCATTCAGTTCAATAATGTTACTCTAGGTGGCGATGTTTGCTTGTCTTAGTTTTCTCTTTTAATCACATTAGTGGTGCAGCTGCTGCATCAAACATTGGAAGCTGTTACGGATAAAAACCAAAATCAAACAATCTGCGACACAAATCTAGTTTCACTCTCAGTCAAATGAAATCTTAAATGAATCTTTAAAAACATTTTATGTTGATGTTCGTTCATCTGTAAAAGCTGGTTTGTGAAAATCTTGAAAAAGACATGAAAATGTTTCCAAGGCAGACTGCTGACAAAAATGTTTCCCCCCCTACAAACATCAGCAGTGAGGAAAATCCCTTCTCTTTTTCATGTCTCCTAATCCTCCAAATCGACCAACCCTTTCCTCTGCCCAGTCTTACTTATCTGAAGAGTGTCCCAGCGGCCACAGTGGCTCTGGTTCCTCTCCCAGAGGAGCCCAGGCCTGAGCTAATCGTCTCTGAGCGAGAGCGAGGCGAGCATGTCTGTAATCCTGTAGGTTTATCAGAAGAGTGGCCTGGCCTGTCCTGGCTGATAGATAGGGCGGAAAAGCTCAGAGCGAAGCCGGGGACACAATAGGCTAAAGGCAGGAAATCATTTACAGCCGAGCCTCAATGACAAAGCCACTGACCTTTCCCTCTGAAATATTTATCTGCAATATAGTCATCAATTGAATATTGCAGTATTATTCACAACACTGCATATAATGCCGCTATTGACGCCAGCAAGGTTATTTGTTTGGTAATAGGCTACTTAAAGTGGGCATGCGTTTTATGTCTGTGGTGATCTAAACTGCATTACAGCTATAGCATCCAATTTAGCAGGACAAATGAAGCAACATAAGAGGCGCATGCAGGCGCACCATTTTAAGATTAGCAATTCCGTAGATGGGTAATAGCAAGGCCACTTCTAAATAATGTGACCAGCAGTATCCTCGTGGATTTATCATCAGGAATAAATGTAATTTGAATACACAAACGTAATATCTAAAGGAGGGCTGGTATGTTTATTTGTAATTTTAAGTATTCTGTGTCTTCAGGCTCAAGCGTCGGTCATCCGTCTCCCCCAACATAATTAACTGTAACAAAATTAGTTCTTTCAACTTGCATCATTTATCGAGGAACCAGTCCAATGTGTTTTAGCTCAGGATGGACTCACATCTTATTATAAAGCCGAGATCGAGTGGTGGAAAAAAAATATATCTTAATAAAATAAGATCTATGGCTGCCAAAAAAAACCAGATACGCTCGGTGGTTAAGCTATAAATCCCTTTGCAATAAAACCAGAAAAATGTCTCCTTTCCTTTCCACAACTATTTTATCATTCATGAATATAATCAAAGGGTCTCCTCAGCTACACGTTGGACAGATGATAAATAATCATATTTAATAACACAAACTCTGGGCTGGGTTTAGAAAATTTCATTTACTCGACAATCCTTATTAAGAAGAGGCCAAAGGGGGGGTGAGGGATTGGGGTCATACATTGCAAAATGTAGTTATTTCAACAACATACTTCATGGAGAGCGTTCACATGTTCATATAGAATAATTGCACTTTATAATTATAGAGACAGTTTGCTATGTAACTCAACAGGCCGACATAAATAAATAGTTTTACAGAACCAGTGCAGACACACAAAGATCTACTCAGTCACACGTCTCACGCCATCAGAGATCATAGAGCCCTAAAAAGAAGAGAAGTGTAAATGATTCAGGCGGCCTGCTCTCCACAACATGGCACTCCATCATTCCCAGATGTTGTGTTACGGTGCCACAACAATTGTCACATCCAAACACCCTCTTCAGAAATTTTAAATCTTAACAAAATACAACCAAACTGCACATCTTGCTTGGCCTGAGTGCCACAGTGTTGATTTTGGATACGCAACAGTCCTAATATGCTGAGCGTGACTACATCAAAACAATTCAGATGCTAAATTACATCACTTTTGTCTATAACTGCATGACAAAACACATTTTGAAATTTATACGCAAAAACGTTCCCCGTACGCCGACCAGAGGATCGGCATCATACTGCTGAAGCACATGTCTGTTAACACTGAAAACTAAATTCACATTAAAGTAACAGACAAACAGAATTTTAGTTAATAATCAAGAAATGTTCCCTCTCAAACATGGAAAAAAAAACATATTATTATATATAAACAGTCAGATTCAAGTGTTTTTAGACGAGTACCAATGATTATTTCAGTTTCGTAGGTTTCCCATGTTTGTAAAGGCCGACAGAGAAAAACAGACAGTGTTGACATGTCAAAGTAAGATGGAGAATTATGATTGGGTGATCAGCCATTTAAGATAGAAAAATAAAAACACAAAAAGTCCATAAGATAAACCTATATCTTAAGTCATGATTATCATTTACCTTCAGGCTTCTAACACAAAGCCTTTCTTCAGTTACAGTACATGCACGAACGTAAAAAAGGCATGTCTCATTCTCGCAGACGTCTGAACTGACACACTTCCGCTGTCAGGTTTGTCACCTCTGCGCCCTGCTGAGCGCCAGCGCCTCGTCTTATCTGTAGACGGGGAGCTGGATGTGGGTTGTCTGGTGGTGCTCCAGCAGCTGAGGCATTCCCATGGCTTGGTACCCACGGCCCAGCATGCGCTCTTTGATGCAGGGAGGGTGGATCTCACTGATGAGGCACTCCAGAGACTGCAGGCTGCTGCTGAGTACTGCAGCGTGGCACAGGCTGGAAGTAGGCAGCCCACAACAGAGGTTTTGGTCTGTGCTGTAGGCCTGGATGTGAGGGGGGAGAGGAGGGAGCAGCTGCGGCTGGTGACGCTGAGGGTGGTGGTGGTGGCGTTGATGGCAGTTTGGGTGGAGGTGGGGGTGAGAGAGCCCCAGGTCTCTAGGCCTGGCCATACATGTACCCGTTGCCAGCACCTGAGAAGGATAACAGTCGCTGTTGGGGGTGGCCACGACGCCGTCCCAGAGAGGAGCGAAGTACTGCCCGCCCTGCATGGCAGCACAGCTCAGAGACGAGCTGCTGGCTCGCTCCTGCCCAGCACTGGGAGGAGGCGGCCTGTAGGACAGCTGCGAGGAGCACGCCAAAGGGAGGCAGGTTTCAGGAGACTGGCCAACCCCGACCTGTGCTGCCCGATGCCCCTGAGCACTGTTACTCACACTGTACATCCTCACTGCTACCTGCTGATAGGACTGCTGCTGCTGCTGCTGAATTTGTTGCTTGTGCTGCCACACTGTGTAGTCTCCTTTCTCCAAGTGGCCAGCTTTGGCGATGTCTGCACTCTGCGTGGGTAGCATCGCTCCTGTGAATGCCAGGCTGCTCTGGGGCGGGACTCCCAGGACAAAGTCTGAGTCTGAATGTGCCACCGCGGCCACAGCCTGCACGGAGGGGCTGGCTCGCGCCTCCCCTCCCAGCTGTAGGGCCTGGCTGTGGGGAACTCGGCTCATCTGCCTCATCAGGCTTTGAACCTCCGCCAGCTCCCTCCGGGGGAGCACGCTCTGATCTCCGGAGGTCATCCCCGCACCGGAACAGAGTGTCTCGATGGGTACATCAGAGAGCTTACATGCGCTTATATGATAGGCCTTGTGCCCATGTCTGACAGTGTAGCCATTATTCAGAGGATTATTATACGGTGCCACAGAGGCCTGCTGGGTGTTTGCATGTTTAGTCCTCCTGCCCTCAGAGTTCTTCACCCCACTTCTGACCACCACAGCGGCTTTGCCGATGGCCAGCAAGCCCTGGTGGCCTCCTGAGCCTGGGTGTGAGTACGGGCTGTAGCGGTGGTTGCCTGTGGTGTCTAAGCCGTTGACGGTTTTGTTAAGCTGCTTGTGCTGCGGCACTCGTACATCAGAGGGGAATATTTTGATGGACAGCGGACTGTTGGCGGTCCTCTGGGCAAAAGCATCCAACTCTGCAGGAGAGGGGTACCGGGAAATCACGGAGGCCAGCTCGCCTGAGAAGAAAGCAGACGAAAAGAAGCGATTAGTCTCCAAGAAGCGGAGGAGCTAAATTTGACGCAGTGGCTTCAATGAGATTCATTTGAAGATATCAAGGTGAAAAAAAGCTTTAAAGTCATTTTTGTTACTGATTACACGACTCATATTTCAGCAATTGGCCTGACTGCTAAATTATTTTGAGTTGATCCACATTACATTTCTGGCTCTGAAATCATTCAAGCATCACTGCTTCCTGTCAATAAAGGTTTGTTCCACTTAGAGCTTTTATGAACCTGAAGTGATTCTACTGTAAAAACCCTGGAGTCTACATTGTGAAGGAGAAGTTGTTGCAGATGGGGGGAAAAAGAGAGGAGAGCACTTCTGATTGAATTGTGTGTGTGGGAAAGCTAACAGGACAAACTAAGATTGGATTTAAACACTATTATTCAGGCAATTTCATGGCTGCTTAACTCCTTGCAACAAAGGTGAGGTGGAAAACGGTGGGAGCCATTTAAAAACAATAAATCACCTGTTTGAAATTACAGCCACCTTTCAGGCCGACACTTTTATGGAGTTTCTGACATAAAACAGAAAAGGCGCTGAAATTAACCTACATAAGTCGGTGGAAATCATCACGGGCGGAATAACAAGCCTATAATCTGCGACAAAAAGCTTCTAAAAATAAAAATAAAAAAACAAAACACTTCATTTCATTTTCAATAACAAAACCAATTCCAGCGATGCGGGGGAGAGGCTCACTTGTTGTTCCTATTTGAAATTGATTTAGGAGTTCATTTCATTTCAGGCCTACAGTGAGCCTCCCGACTGTGAAAATGATTCAATCTACAAGATCCATCTCATGAAAGAAATAAATTGGGTGTTTAAAATGGAGGAAGGAGGTAAGGTGGAGCGTTCAATCCATCTAGAAATCTCCCGGCGAAGCAGACGCACCGTGGCGCCGGCAGCATGAATGAATTCTACTGAGAAATACAACAAAGCAAAACACTGCTTATTATGTATCGCGGTGTAGTGCTGCTATAGAAAACAATGACATCTGGGATGTTGGAGAGGTGTTTATACTGTATACAACATCAAGATGTGAGCTCTCGCTTCTCTGGTTTCCCATAATCCTGCTCACGGAGTCGGATGTAACAGGAAAAACCAGCTGCAATAACAATTTTTAGCCTTTGGCAAAAAAAAAAAGGTTTTTATTCATGACCATAAATGATTAGTAGAGGAGGATCATAACCATGAAGAAGCTTAGGTAATGGGGAGTGATATAAAAGATAAAATGAATCCTTCCGATACCACAGAAGAAAACATGTCTCTTGTTTCTGCTTCAAATTGCTCAGTTACCTGAGAGAGATGATTTAGTGAGGCGTTTTTGCCGTCTCTCGCTTGGTTAAATGTCAGCGTTAAGCTCTGCACGCTGCGATTGGCTCGCTGTTCCACAAACATTTCAAAAACTTTGAATGCTAACACGTCTTCGCGGGGTGTCTGATATTGTTAGTCCAGAGATTACAGCCCTGTCAGAGTCATGGAGACACAACACAGCTGCACTTCCCCACTGTGGCTGCCTTAATGGAAACCTCATTAGCAAATAGGCCTTTCCCCCACTCTGCATTCACATATTTGTCATCCGAGGACCGCTCCTGCGTGGCATATGCATGAAAAAAGGGGGATCATTTTCAGCTGATCCCCCGACAGAAGCGCGACTGCTGGATAATGGGAAATTCAAAGTGAGGACAAAAACAGCACGACCAGCATTAACGCTAAGCTCGAAATTACAACCAGAGGTAATTGTTTCAATCTTGAGGACTTTATTACCAATCACAGGAGTTAAACTGCAGCACAGCACGTCATGTTTACCAGTCAGCTGCATCATTTTTGTTCATTTCACCAGGCTTTGCTCCAAAAAAAAAAATATATGTGTGCTTCATTAATTACAATCTGGCTCCACGACAGCTCAAGTCTCCCCCTGAAGGTGCCAAGATTGCATGGGCCTCCTTTGTGGAGGCTGCTGTCTCACCCTCACTCTCAACACAGGGGCCATATATATATACACATGAAAGTGATAATTGATGATGTGCATGAAGTATCTCGCTCGCACGGTGCTCTGCAGGCGTCGTTTGCACTTTCCAAAATCGGAGCAAGGTTCAATTTGAAAGCTTTTTTTGAAGTCAGTGGTTTTGTTTTGCTGGTCCATTTCAAAATCTGATGCTTCCAGATCATTGATCCTGAAAACAAGCAAAAGTAGGGAACAGTCGTTATATTCAGTTAAAACACCTCTTTTAAAACCAAGGTGTTTTAACTGCAGCTCAGAAATGTGTGAGGGAGTAATACCAGGTGAAATGTCTGAGCAGCAGAGCAGCTTTTAGTCTTATCCTGGCAATGTTGCCTTTAGGAGATGAGATTATTCATGTTCTTCCATTAATGCATGTTTAATGTTTAGTAGTCAGCAATGTACCGAGTGTCCCAAAGACCAACTGGACGTTTTATGGGCTAAACAAAGGTTGCAATATTAAATCTGCAGGGTTGAGAATTTGTTTAACACAATGAAGACAAAACAAAACAAAATTATGTTCATTTTCTTTATTTCTCCCTATCTGTACTTATCTCTACTCCACTTATCTGTAGTACTCTTTTGTAAATTATTTTCAAAAATCTACTTTGTGGGTGTCAACCATGCATTTCATCTTGACATGTTTTCCTGTGTTTCTCCCCTGTTGTCACGACGAAAGTCATGGGTGTAAAAAAATTAAGACAAGAAATGAAAACAAACACAAGGCCGTTCACATGACAACCGGGGAAATGGCAGCTACGTGTTGTCAGGTGAGGAATGGCGGGGAGATAATTAGCAGTCTGACCTTAAGCACTTAATCGCCGTTAACCTGAAGACTGCACGCTGCTTCTCCTCAGCCCTGACACAGAGCAGAGGCACCGAGCGAGAGAAATGAAAAACAGCCCAGAAAAACATCAGACTCTTTTCACGAGCAGGCCCCGGCATCACGCAGTGTTTACACGTTTAAATTCTTTGACCTTTAACAGCCCTCCCCTCCCTACTTGTCCTCAGACACAGCTGATTAAAGTGGGCCGTGCTGGATTAAAAAACAGCTTTGTTTGTCAAATTCCTTGCCTCAAAAAGAATCTGCATAATGACAATGATGTACGACGCATCCACGGATCTCGATTGATCCATTTAATGGTCCCACTAGTCATGCTAGAAGCTTTTTTTGGTTAGAAGGGCACGCCACGCGCTACACGTGCTGTGTGCAACTGTTGTGGCGCCACGCTGAGAGAAGCTGGCACACTTTCACAGGAAACACCTAATCCTGATTTCCTCTTTACATGCAGGAGACTCACTTGGAAAGAAACAGTCGGGGGTTGAGAGAGAGAGAGAGAAAGGAGATTGTTGTAATGTGTGTGTTTGTGATTTAAAGAAGAAGAAATGTTTGCACAGGAATAATCTGCAAATATAAAACATTGCATTTTTAATCACGCCGCGGTGCAATTTGTGGTTTTTCACAAACTTGATTCCACCCCCATACAATTTTGCCACTTTGAAAAAAATAAAACCAGGCTAATCTTTTTCCCGTGGTCACACTAGAAGCCACACCCCCACCCACCCCCCAGATTAGAGCGCAGACCTCATTGTTTGGAGCAGTTAAAGTTAATCACTAATTTATGGGCAAAACAAGCCCCAGAGGCAGAGATGAAATCTGGAGTCGGGGGAGCACTTTGCATTTCCAAAACCACTCCTCCTGACTGTTACATCCCCGGAGGCCCAACATAAGGAATGAGAATGACCACTAGGTAATTATTCCTTATTAATATCCATACAGGCTGAAATGTCAGATCTTCGATGTTATGGTGCGGACTTCCTGTGAACACATTAGTGAGACAGCCTGTTTACAAGAGTCAAATCCTGGGCGAGGATCCACCACACAGATGATTTCTGGTCTTTAAAGAACTTCTCGACCCACCTTCGTAACCAGGGCCTGAGCTCAGCACATTCACGACACATGTAAAACCTATGTCTCTGTTCCCATGACAACCTCTCCCTTTTTTTGTGTCTATTATCGCCCAATAGTCATTAGAACCATGTAATTAATTGGCCCTGCCTCCATTCATCAGAGGTTAGACAAAGCGATACCACCAAACATTACTGCTGCTCTGCTCTTCCTCCATATTCGAGCCAAAAAATGAAAATAAAATCATACATTTCGGTTTTGGATAATGATTCTATCCACGGCTTATATTTACTGGTGATGGATAACTTCGTCCTGTAGATTTTCAACTTCAGTCTGGGGCATAAGATGTTAAAACGAACACAGAGATACACAGCTACCACAAGATGGATGATTTATGAAGTGGTTATAGAGTTTCCATGGTGTCAGAGCAGATTGCGGGTGCTACACATTCAGAAAGTGTCTGATGGACACACGACTCTCCGGGTTGAATTAGTGCTGAATGTGAACTGTGGTGGAAAATAACTTTGGTTAAAAAGTAAAAGTAGCTGTAAATAAAAAACAAAACATGAGAAGTTAACTCTCAAGGTGCTTTTCAGTAAGAAACATCCAATGATTCTCATACATATGGCTACAGGCTGACGTATGAAATCCAAGCTGAGAAAACTGGTAATAGGAACAGCTAATACGATCTTTCTGCTACTGAATGCTAATAAAATGTAGTTTAAAAGAGTTTAAAATCAAGGTGTTTTGAATTTGCTGCCCCTCTGATAAGTAGCTCTAAACAGTAGCCTCCCTCTGGCTCATGGGTAATGTAGTATGTAGAGCCATCTGTCATGTCAACAGATACAAAGTTTAAATTATTGAAACCAGTGACTACAACATGCATGTTAAGTGTTTTTTCTTTATCCAGAGGACTGTCATGATTCTTTGTTGAGTGAAGTTATATATAATTGAAACAAAAACCTGAAAATATGTCAGCAGGCTCTACGTGAAGGGTGCTGGAGTAACCTCAGGGTTGAACACTTAGTTATGTGTGCTCGAGGAGGCTATGGCGAATACTCCTTTGCACCAGTGTCACTCCTCATTTGTTTCTGTGCCGCTTGGCCCAGCTTGGGCAAAGTTTCCCCTCTAAAAGCCGACCCGAGCACAGGCCGGCAGCGTGGGAAAAAAAGAGGCATATCCAGCCCCTGCTTTCAAACTGAGATAGCAGAGAGGAGAGAGAAGAGCGTGGCGCGCATTCACTCTCATCGCATAATTCCTCACACTGGTTTCTCAGAAATCTTTCACATGGGTTTGTGTGGCTGAGAGCTTTTATGTCCTGTGCCTTCCATTTATTGATAGCTAAAAATGGAAATGGCTTTTCAAAAGCACAGCAGCGACCGGCGTCTGTCCCCATTTAACATGATCCAACAGTGGCTCATTTAATGAAGGAGCCTGGACCCACACAGACTGAGCTCCCATCAGCAGTCTATTCCCTGTGGTTGTGCTTGAAATGTCAGGCTTCAGCTGAAGGGTGCTGCACCACGCTACGCACAGTCGCAGTACATAAAACTAATGGGGAGGGGGAGGAGAGGGGAAGGGGGGGAGGGAGGGAGGAGGGAGGGAGGGAGGAGGGAGGGAGGAGGGAGGGAGGGGTCGAAAACAGGATGAGGAGCGCACCCCTGGTTCTGCCTGAGGCAAACTAGGCCCTTCTGTTCCAATGTTTAGCAGACAAGTGCTCCACTGATTCCTAATTAATATTTAATAACAAAATAGACAAAGAGGTATTTCACCCGGGGAGAGAGATGAGGAGATGAGGAGACAGAGCTTAAAAGGGGGGAAAGAATTTCAGCAGCCTTTCAAAAGTGAGTTCAGTCGGAAACACAGCCTTTAATTCTAAATATAAGTCTGTTGCAGCACCACACAGGTATTTCCTCTTCATTTGGCTGATTTGACCTCATCGTATATATAGTATATGAAGTGTATATGAAGTATATGGAGTTCGGTGACCTGAGAAAACCCCCTAGTGTGGCTCCACCCAGCTTCAACCTGAGAAGAGGTCAAATTATCCAGAATATGTGAAAACACCCATGTGTGCATGTGAAGGTGTCGGGTAAACACCGTCATTGTAATCTGATAATTACAAACACAATTACAGTGACATTAGACAGTTTAATGGTGCAGCGCGAGATACGTGAGCAAAGATGTCCTTTGTGAGAAACCACAGGCCCATGCAAATGAACGAAAACATTTACAGGCAGCAGGATCAGTCAGATAAGATCATCCTGACCACTGCCCTGATCTCCAGGCAAAAAGGTGAACGTTTGCTCACCAAACACTGATAGTCAAATGATTGTGATCCACTCAGATGGATCTGAACGTACACGCTGTTACTGGTCAATATTTGCATTCTCCTGCTTACTGGAAACCTTCCTGTATTGCAGTACAGTAGCAATTCATGCATGGGACTAAATAAAACACATTAAATATATATATGACAGCTCAGGCTCAGTATAATAATCCTGCAACACCTACATGAAAAAACAAAACATCTCCAAAGGACCTAATAAGTCAAAGTGTTTCATGGCTAAGTGTATTAATAAAACTGCAATACACCCAGCTGAACCATTAAACTGTGAGCAATTATAGATCTTCAATATAACTCCGAAACCAGACCCAGCACAGAAATATAAGGCATCAGCAGTTTTTAAATCAAAATGAAAAAAAGGAAACCACAGCAGAATAACTTCATTTGCAGTACTGTGATCTCATTATCTGAATCTAGACTATCGAGGAAGAAGAAGAAAAGAGTAACATATACACACACGTGCAAAACACAGCAGTATCAGACCAAGGACTAATTCTGCAGACATGTCACATTTAACCAATTAACTGGAAGGAATCTAATTACAAATGTCAATCCAGGTTAGTCCCGGAGATACCGGCTCAACCTTTCAGTGAACGTGGCATAATCAGTCAAGATGAAGGTCACTGACATGGGGGCGCTCTCTGAAATGTGAACGTTATTAGTAACCCTGTGTGGGAGAGTTGATTAACTCCGTAATTTCAGACTCCACTTTGACCATTGGCACTGCAGGAGCACAGTGATTAGCAACCCAATTAAAAGGCATCATCATCATCATCAGGATTGGCCATTATTTTATTTCTAAGAGCTTAATGACAGCTGACAGCTCAACGTGCTGTTGTAAGGTTAACTAAGTAAGTAACATATTGAACTTGATTAATGTTGGTATTCAACTTTTGCTGTTTGCACATTGTGAGCATATACACACATGTATGATACATTTTTGGGAAAAGGGCATCTCACTTCGACATTTTTGGTCTAATTTCCACTCTAGTCTGTCTTGGCCTGGTTCAGACCACTGCCAAACTAAACCAGTTCCCTGTCCATGTGGGCTGCTTTTCTGGTCGACTTGCAGCGGGAATGTGCCGCGTGTGGTATCAATGGAGCGAGGGTTACGTTGTGTTTGGCAGAAAATGCTGATCTTGTGCAGTAGTGACAACATTTACTCTTCCACTGGGTATTTCCACTATCAACCAATAATGTGTATCTGTTGTGTAGCAGATAGAGCCCCTAGAAGTCGAATTTACTAGTTATTTCCTGGAGTAGGACAAGCTGCAGTTTATAAAAACCTCCAGGAGGTTCAGACCATGAGCAGGCCACAGTTAAATCCACTGGATTTAACCTAAATGTCCGTAACCCTGGTGCAGAGGTGCTTTCTTGTTTTTATATTTTCTTTCATTTCTCTCATTCTTGTTGTATGAGAGCACAATCTTCATGTGCACTTGAAGGTGACATAACAAAACATAACTGATTAAAAAGTCACTCATGAACTATTCACTTTTAAAAGCAGCCTATGCCATTGATGAATGTGCAGAGTGCTTGTTATCTGCCCTCTGTGTTACCTGTGTGCCATGACTCACCTTTGCGGGTGCAGGGCTGCAGCGGCGGCACCTGCAGCAGTAATGGTGGCGGAGGAACATCGAGGCTTTTGGGGGTGCAGGCCAGATGCTGCGATGACAGGTTCTGCCGTCTCTGGATACAGGCCAGCATGATAGTTCACGACGGCTGCTCACAGCCTGGGTAAACCTGCTGGAATAAAGATAACACAACTGATTTTTTTACTCCAACTAACATGTTGGTTAAACCAGACTGAAGCTTGAGACATAGACATTTTAAAACAACAAATATCAGTCTAGCGTTGGTGATAAAGTCAGAGCATCAACAGAGTCGGCAGGTTTCATTCTCTGAGAACCATGGATGGCTACGACGACAGACCGGCACACTACGGTGATAGCAGCAAAAACCATTAAAGATGAATTAATCCCAGACCAGTTCTGTTGTCTATATCTTTTGATTTAAAATGTTTGTCTGATTTCATGGTCTGGTCACACAACTATCATTCAAAAGAAAGCAGAAGCCGACTTAAAGTTTGGAGAGAAAAATATTTAACGATGGGCGGGCATTACATTCAATCATCACTTTGATGTCGTAGTAAAAACTGCAGGCGCGCACGGTACAAACTCTCCTCTTTCAAAAACATCTCCTCCACTTCACTCCAGTAGCTGACATGTCTTAAAACTCTTCAACGTCTCGGGTCCTTTTACCACATTAAAATTCAGGAGCCCGGCTTTGAACTGCGGAGGCTGCACATTTAAGGAAGTAATCTCATTTAATAACGACGCCATCTCCTCCTGCTGCTTAGTTGTTATGATGGTTCTTCGCTGTTATCAACCTTGGTCTGTCAGCTGCAATCACACAGATCATTTACAAGGACTCCTGCAGCCTCGAGGTGCGTTTCAGTTTGTTACTATCCCAGAGACCTGGGTTTCTTGTTCTATGAATTTATGGCTGTATTGATCAGCGTAGAAAGCCAAAAGCAGCTCACTCCCTAGAATAGGCCGCGCTGTTTGCAGGGTTAAGTATTGTCAGAGGAAATGAGCGGCGGAGTCTGAAGAAGGAGGCGCCTCTCCACGGCTGTGCTGATTGAAGCAATCATTCTGAAAAGAAAGCCAGGCATTGAGGGAATATTTCAGTGATAACGGTGTTTGACATTCACTTTGATTATCTGAGGGAGTCAGCAAATCTGTATGCCAGCTCTGCAAAACTAAAAAACCCTGGGCTACTGTGCACAAACTTCTTACTGATTTAGGTATCTCGTATACCGACAGCAAACTATCTGAGACGTATATACCGTTAATCCAGCAACTGCAGTAGTCCCCAAAAAAGGCAGCCAGCAGCATCCAGCTGTCACTTTTCCTCTTTTTCTTATTCGGCTTTTCGGTTCCTTTGGATTTTGCCTTGATTTCTCCCTCAGGGTCTGCGGAGCAGCTAAAGAGAGTCAACCACGGAACAGAATGTTCAGTGATGAGCTGCGGAAACGTGATTACCTTCGCCTCAAAAGGAAGAAGAGACAGAGAGTGGCTTTCATTTTACTCAGGTGCCAACCCTCACTCTTCCCTTCCTCCCCCTCCTCCGCTCAACATCTGTCCCTTGGTGACAAGCCCACTTCAAACTGCTCAGAGCAACCTGTCTCATCTGAACACACACACTCACGCACATACACACACACACATCTGAAGCGCTAAAAGCCTGAGTATGGTCAGATTCCATTTTGAAAATAATAGCAGTTTCACAACAACCCCTCCATTACCACACATTTGTCAAGAGGGAGGTGCCGAAAACGCAGAAGGAACACAAGAGAGGGAAAGTATCTCAAGGGAAATCCCTTCACTAGCAGAAAATGAGACATGAATTGGAATACCTTCCATTACCCCCATAATTTGCAGATGGAAAAAAATACATCAAGGAGGTCATTATAATTCAAAGAGGCCAGCAGTGGCTTAAAGAAAAAGAAAGTTTCGCTGAGAGCAGAGAAGGGAACTAGATATGATCCATAAAGTGCGAGTAATGATGGTTTCTTTCATCCTGCCATCTAAATTTTAAATTTAAAGAGATTTTGTGAAAATTGAACTTGCTTCCTGAATCTCGAGGAGAATTACCTGAAAGTCGAGGACAGATAACAAATGAAAGTGATCCCAGAATTTGTGATATTATCTCGGCTCCATATGGTTTCTCCAGCCCTTCATTTCATGTTCTGCTCAACAAAAAAGTTTTGCCTCTGGCTTTGTTGATGTCACGTCGAGATATCTCACGTCTGACAACTGCACAGTAACTGTCAGCAATCTTAGAAATGCCAGTCGTTATTGTAGTTCAACTCAGCTTTCACAAATAAGGTCATTACTTAGATGTTCATTGTTTCTTCAATCAGCAGCAAGATATTATGGTTACTGTTATAAACCAGATGTCTCACTGCTCACATTTACTCTTCTTCATTTCATGAATGACCTCTGTAACATGCTTATTAGGGAAAAGGACAAAGTTTAGGCTGCAAGGACGTCCACTCCTCACCACTCTCCGGCGACATCCGTGTAGCTGATAAGCAGCGCGATGTGGTCGGCTGAGGGGCGTGCCAGCGAGATAAAGACCTCGTGCTTTGCAGTCCATCTAACTGTCCCCCACGGTTTTCTGATAAGGGTGTTTTGGCGGACGAGTTTATTTTTCAAGCCTCTTTCTTCATCTCTGACGGGACTTGAAAGGTCCCGTTTTTCTGATGTCATCTCTCCCGGGATGAGGACGGGGCCTTTTCCCTGAGAAGATATGGTCAGCTGAGGGGCCATGAGGGAAGCGACGGAGGGACTTAATGATGGCTGCCGCAGGCACAGAGATGATATGTTATCTTGAACTTACAATACGTACGTTTGGCTGCTAACGGTCTCTAATTTGAAACAATGACAAAAGACCTAGTTTGATGATGTATGTATATGTTTGGATATCATTGTCTATTAGTTTAATTCACATCACGCGGCAAACAGCAGAGAATAATCATTATAATCATCCCATAGCCTTTTATAAAATAGGGGATTTCTCAGGGTTTCAATATTGTTGAGAACATTTTGGATAATTCAAATTCTTTTAGATTTTAAACAAGGTATGCACAATTACCCAGAAAAAATACTGGGCCATGCTGAATGTTTTACCTGTCAGGCTTCACAACAACAGCTGCAGCACAGGAACAACCATCAAAGCGGGAAAAAGCCCTTCATTATACACGAGCATGTGTCTGACCTTCTGGAGTCTTTTATGACTCTGTGCAGCATCAAGGGTCAGAGAGAAGATAGAAGCAAATTGTGGAGAGCCGCCCTCTCAGCAAACATGAAATGCACAGGGATACACACTGGCTCTAAACAAACACACACACTCAAACTGTCACTTATACACACACACACACACACACACACACACACACATCCAAACTGCCACTTACACACACACACACACCCCTCCCTACCCAAACCATCTCAGCTCCTGTTAGCAGTTCTCAGAATCCTCTGTTAATAATTAGATGATAATGAAAAAGGTTTAAGACGAGCACCCTTTTCACTCTCTGGGTGGATTAGCATGTGAGTGCTATGCTAATGTTTCCCCCTTCCTTCCACACAGAAACTGCAGAAAAAAAGAGAAAATGAAAGAACATATAGAAATAAATAGATGATTAACAAAGAGCAATTGGTTATTACAGAAGAGGAAAAGCAGCGTCTCCCTCTTTGAATGAACAAGATGTGGCCCATGAATAACAATCCACTTACTGTATAATTAATAGTATATTATGCATGGCTTTTATACTGTCTTTAAGGTAGGCACTGCAGGAACCTGTTTAAGTAATGGAGACCAGACAAGTAATCTGACATACAGGGCTGCTGCAGCTGCTGGATTCATCTCTATAAAGCCCTCCTTACACACACACACACACACACACACACACACACAAACACACACCCCAACCCCCTCATACATTTTTAATAGAATCTATTACTTCTGGATTAGCCGATAAGAGCTGCCCTGGTTAAATTCTATAATAGTTTGCATAATTGGTATCAGAGCTGCATATAAGAGAGACCCAGATTTCTCTCTTCTCCTTCTCTGTAGAGAAAGAAGAATAAAGGACACAAAGGTTCAAATGCAGGAAAACCAAACAACCTGGAGTTACTCTGCTCCACGCTAAAAGAACACTCGAGGCCTGAGGCCGATAACAATGAGACTCATTTCCATTGGGATTAGCTCCTGTAAAAGGTATTACAACGGTTTTACAAAAAAGAAAAGAAACATTTCCTATACAACTTGCGTGCAAGCACAAAATTTATGGAAATGCAAACGCCGGGCAATGCTCAGACAGATGTCCACGGCATTCAGATGGATGTAAATCATGCAGCGTTAATGGTTGGTTGCCTGGGATGAACATTAACGTCACAATTTCTCCCGTGCACAACATCATGTGGCCGCCACAAAACAGTTACAATGAAAGCTGAGGCCGAAGAAGTCTGATAGAGCTGGAAATCGTTCAGCTCTGTAACAACAGCCAATCATCCCCTGACAAGAAACAGTCTGTCCAGCACACAATCTTCCACATATTGCTTCACTATTGCAATGACATAGATATGAGTGTAAAATCTGCTGCATGTATAGATAAAATATAAACCTGCACATTGTTGGACTACCTATGTTTTATTCATGTTTTACACAGTTTAACCCAACAAACCCTGAGCTTTTATATTGATGTTTTGACTTCTCATACTTGTTTGTGGGTGGCTGTGGCTCAGGAGGTGGAGCGAGTTGTCTGTGAACCAGATGGCTGGTGGTGTGATCCCCAGTTCATCCATTCTGCATGCCCAAGTGTCCTGGCGCAAGAAGTTGAATGCCAAATTGCTCCTGATGGCTGTGCTGGTAGTGTGTGAGTGATGTGTGATAGAGGAAGTTGCAACTTTACTTTTGGTGTCTTACAAACCCACGAGGGATGAGCACTTCTGTGTCTAACGAAAAAATCTAATAAAATCATAGACGTATTGTATGGTTTGTTCATCAAGTCCAGAAAAGCTCTATATAAATACAATCCATTTACCGTAGGTCTACTGTGCAAAGCAACATTGTCAATTTACCTTCTAGCTTGAGTGATTTGAAAACTAATAAAATATTAAAATGAAAAGTCTTAATGAGACTGATCTCAATTAAAAGTCGGAGCAGACATGAAGAGTTTTTTTCTCCATGTACCTGCTGAGAAACTCTACAGTCATTTCACCATCTGTCTTTTTTACTTTCCACCACCTGAATGTGAAAAAAATACATCACTTTGCAGTCTGACAATCTCAAGTATTTTGCAGGATTTTAATATTTTAACATCTAAACTGTGGCAACAAATGGTTTGAAATGAATGACAGTCCGGCTCCGTGGGATCAGAGCCTGCACCATTAACTCCGGCAGCAGCCGCAGCTACTGCCAGCGTGATGTATTTGTCTTTGAGGTTTACAGTTCTAACAAACAATTACTCATTTACTTTGGAGTAAATACAGGCCATTTCTGTGAGTCATTCTTTTAAAACAGCATTGGTAAGACGATTCATGTGTCATATATAAACAATATCATCACTATTTTTGTTATTTCCAAACATATCCATGCCACTTTCAGCACGTTTGGTTGAGAGACATAAGTTTTATCACTTTGGTCTTTGGAAAGTAGTACCTTGGACATTTTTCATTTAAACAGATTGCTCGGTGCAAATTTGTCCATTAATCCAAAACTGCACAATTAAATCTTATCTCTGAGAACAGCTTTGGTCGGCAGTAGAAAGCTCGGACTGACCCGAATCTGCCCTTGCACGTTGACGGTGCCAAGGTAAAAGAAACTAACTGCATGGGGTAAAGTCTGGCCAATGCCAAGGTAGCATTAGAGGGTAAACAAAGCCTTATCTTATCCTTATCCCAGTGTGCACGCCGAGACACGCTGTCAAAGAGCTATGGGTATGCTGTCCAGCCTTTAGAAAACGTTGACTAAAGATAACAGATGGTGGAAGAGTATGCTGAAAAGTTTTGAGGGAAAAGAGAGGAACTATGTTTTTTCAGTTGCGACATTGACATTTTGTTGGGCAGACTCAGAGTTTTGTGAAGGAGAAAACAAAATACGATACATAAGCATGAACTTAATCCCCCCCCCCCCACCCTCCCTGAGCCCTGTCATCTTTTTGTTTAGCGCACTGTTACACTGTTAAGGGTCACTGATTCCTTCTAGTCATTAAAATCTTGAAGCAAACAAAAAACTCATTAAATACCGTGGAGAAAAACGCTGCTTGCATGGCTCTTATTTGAGCTATAACCTAATGATAAGCTCCCTACCCGGCCTCGTGGAGACGTTCTCGGAAAAAAAAAAGCCTTTTGATCTCTGGACCAAACAAAGATGTCATCATCTCAGCTTCCATTCTCTTACATGATAAAGCATCAGTTGCAATTTGGCCATTTTGATCATTAATTTGAAGTAATGACCGAGCAACGTCATGTAGACAAAATAAAGATTACTGGAGCTCCACATAACCCCCTCAGTCCCTCCCCCCTCCTTGTGACCCCGGAGGCCCAGTCCTTAACCTCCCACCCTTAACCCCAGTTTCACTACTCCATCATCCTATTAGAGTGAAAAGACCAATTAGACAGATTTCAAAAGATGGCAGGCTGTCTGTAATTACACATGACATCTCTTAGCAGATAAAAAGGTGACTACAAAGGGTGCATGGGAGAAAAGGGCGAAGCAACTGAGCCAGCTACATTATCCATGTATGATGGAAAGATAGGCTGGGTGCATATGTAGATATGATCAAAGTCATTTTGAATCATCTCATCGTTCAGTCTCCCAACAAGAGACTGATACACAACTGTAATCTCACCGTGCACATAACAAGTCTTAAATGTGAGGCAACGGATGACACGGCAGAGAAAGACATGACCTTAATCAGTTCTTGTTCTGGCCCGCGTAATAATCATCCAAGAAAAGGTCACTGTTGTGGTGAGCCATTTCCTCCATTCAGTAACTCAGTGGGCCTGGAGATTGAGCGAGCCTGGGGAAACTTCACAATAGATCAGAGCTCAGCTTCAATCCTGAGATAGCAAAGGGAAGCAGGCAGCCAAATGACAAATCCCCCTCTCTCTTCACGGAGTTGGAATTACTGCTGGGGTGTGATGTGAGATCAGAGGGAAACCCCCACGGGATACCTGCACACTGACTGCTCATGATACCGCACAATTTACAATCCGCTCAGGAGAGCTTCAGGGCCGGGCAGAGCACATTTCAAGCAAACAACCGCAACATGAATATTTGTCATTGTGTAATTAGTGACATGTAACCGTCTAAAACTGAAGAACGCAGCTGCTAAAGCCCAAGTAAAATGACAGCGTGTGATGTGTAAGCCTACAGCACTGAATGTTCACCGGGGGAGAGGGTTTTAGTGTGAGAAGCAGATTTATGGATCGAACGCCAAACCAATATACTTTATGATGAAAAGGGGACAAGCTACTAAAATTTTTATTGCAGCAGTGTGGTACATCAAAGGCAACAGTGGCATGTTTTGAATATGCTTATAGGAAATCATAAGAAAGACAGATATACGCCTGTTCCTGATCACCACATGCCTCAAAAGGAAAGAATTAACCCAGGGGAGTTGACATACTTTTCGCTTTTTGGTCAGAGAATAGCTTGAACAACAACACACACACAAAAAAGAGGAGGAAGAAGGGGACAATGACTGACACCAAATTGCAGCTTTTCTACTTCTCTGCCTCTGGTGAGAAGCTGTGACATTACGTCTTTCTGGGTAATAAAGGATCTGGCAACAAGCAGGAAAGCATGCAGGCTAGAATTTCACACCTGGCCAATAATCTATAGGCCCCCTCTGCTGCAGCTATAACCTTCAACCCCGGCTGCCACCGGTGCAGTGAGGTGCGATGATCCCACCTCCGGCTTCCACACAATAGACATGGAAACCTTCAGAGGCAGGCAGCCCTCAATGACCGATAATATACTTCAAAGCACTTCCCGTTTCCACTGAGATGCTGACATTATAAAAGCGCCTTTCAGTGCGCGCATGCACAGCCAGCATCCAACTCACACATGCACACAGCTGATGAGAGTGGAAAAACGCCCCTGGCAAACAAAACAACAGTTTTTATAAAACAGAAAAAACATCCACAAACTACACATCATCATTACGCAAACGTTTCTCATCCATATTATCACCAAATTACGCACATTTCCCACATTTATAAAACAACCAGAGACTATTTGTACCATTAAAGGAACCCTTCTCTATGGTGGATATAAATTACAGTCCTTGTAGCGGCATATAAAGACACATTAAGCAACAGCAGGACACTGATGTATAGTGAGGGCGAGACACTCCTACCCATGAGTGCGCACTGGGCATCTTTCACCACTTTAGCGCTGTCGACCTGGAATCAATGCGGGGCAGAATCCTGGAGCATCTTTACAGCCAGACATGTTTTATTCTCACTCTGCCATGGTCGTGTACACACAGACACACGCACACAAGCACGCACACACACACAGACACACGCACACAGCGATTATTAAAAAACCTATGGAGCTGCAGAGGAAAAACAAGAGAAACATTTGCCACACGCATACATTGAACATTATAGTGGAGATAAAGAAGTCTTACAGAGTTTAGTCTTATCATAAGGCTTGTTTATCTTTGGTTGGCCACGGCTGATTGGTCGCTCCCCTGCTCGGAAGGCGTATTTCCTCCGCAAAGAGCAATCTCGCCTCTGATTCCGCGGTGCGCACTGGAGACCTCCGGGGATACATCCATGGATGACGCTGGCTCCATTAGCTGAACTTCCACAGCATCTTCAGTCCGAGTGGAACAGGAAGAAAATGTCACCGATTGTTTCTTTTTCCGTGCACCAGCTTGTAGCTCATCCCGGGAGCTGACAAAAGCAGTGTGTGTGTGTGCGTGTGTGCCACAGAGAGAGAGAGAGTGATGTCGGAATGGCAATGAGTCCTCTGCACTGTTGAAACCGGCTCCGGGCCAATCAATCAAGGCTAAATTTGAATATTCCCACGGCTCGGCCAATCGTGTGCGAGAGAAGGCGGCCGCTGCCGTGATGCCAGAGCCGTCAAAGTGAGCACGTTGCTGTGTTTTAAAGGAGAAGAGCCTCTGAAGTGATGGCACCGGAATAGATGCAAGTTTGTGGTCGATAAAATGATCCCTGCACGTCTAATCGATGATGATATGAGAATCTCAGCCAATCAGAAGAGCTTCATTAAACTGAAGATGACCAAGAAAAACCTGCATCACCTCAGGACTGGCAATGATAAAAGTATAGAAGGTACAACAATACAAATACCACATTGTAAAGAAATACCCTATTACAAATGTTTCTGCAGAGCATTTGCAAAATCTACAATCTACAATCTATCTATCTTGTATGATTGTTATATTTAATGTGCATTATTAATGATGCACTTATTTTACAAGTTGATATGTTTTGCAATTGAAATCTGAAACTGTTCAGCTATACTCAAAGGTAACTAAAAAAAGGTAAAGGTCTCCTTCAATTCAATAAAACCTGCACCAAATGTCATACACTCATTAATAACAGTTTCCTAAATGTGTGCTATTTAATTATTTCCTGGAAAAATGGTGAAAAAAAAAGAAAATGAAAAAAAAAATCCTTTATGAGCACTAAATATGTAACTTAATATTTAAGTTTCGTGTTAATCCGTCAAGTAGTTTTTGTGTAGACAGATGAAAACATGGGAGTAGGTAAAGATGGAGTATAAGTTATGATCATGTTGTGAAAGCAGCTTAAAATGAAAAGTAAAGAAGTGCACATCCCTGAAAATTGTACTTACAGTATTTACAGAGACAAACCCTCAGTGGTGTTGAATCAGCACCTGTTTGACACATTGAATACACTAATCATGAATCTGTCTTTTCAGCAGAGGCATGTTGATCCTAAAGAGAAATCTGAAGAAAGTGAGGATCAAAAATAGGTGTGAAAACCTTTTTCAATGCAGGCGACTCTTGTCTGACACAAAATCGAGAACCAAGTTGACTATAAATGATGTCTCTCGGGTTAAACGTCTCAGGATGAGAGCTTGTCACGATCTGTTGCTGAAAATAATTTAGTGTGCCATTTCCCCAGCAGACAGCCTGACTTGTCATAGGATGGAAGCCACGGGCGCAATTAATCTCTGTGCCAGACCCGTCTTCCAGTTTGAGTATCCTGGTATTGTGCTGGTTGGCTCGCTGTGACTCTCGCATTGGAATGAAGCCATCATTAATGTAATAAGTCAAAATGAAAAAGGTGTGTGTGTGTTTAACCAACACTTAGAGAATCATAATTTAATCAGACGAGTTCATCCAGTCCTCAAAATATCAATATAGTTTTTTAATGATGGGGTGACAGTGTGTGTTTCTGTAGTGAAATCATGAATTATACATGTTCTGCTTCCTCAGTTGGTTTACACACAGATTTTGAGCACATATCAATATAAGTGTCGACTGTCCTTTAAGGGCATGAGGTGTTTGACATATTCAGATAGTAATGTCAGTGTATGCTTGACTACTCACCCAGCTTAAATCTAATAATAGTTCCCTGTGGCTGCCAAAATGTACATGTTGTAAGTCTAATGGCATCACAGCATGAGTGGACTGCATTATGCATATGTGTGACTCTTTGTCTGTGCATGTGTTTGTCTGTGTGTGTGTGTGCGTGTGTTGTATGTGTGTGTGTGTGCGTGCATTGGGGGGGGGGGTAGAATTTCCTGAGCCAGTGGGTTTCCTCTGCAGGTCTTTTCACTGTTGACACTTTGACATGTCACAGGATGAAAAGTACAAGTGTTAATAGTAAAATGAATGATGGCTGAATTCTGTTTGGACACATTATCTAGACTCACAGGGACAGTTGAATGGAACAGAGCCATCATTAATGTTGCTATAGTAACATCATTGCTAAAACCTTGGAGTTCCAATACCATTCACAACATGCAGGATGCAGGGGCGCTGCGACAGGGCACGCACAAGCTAGGGCCTCGAGCTGAAAGGGGGCTCCTTAGAGCTGCCACAGGAATGACAATTTTGCTAGAGCACCCTTAAAGGTTTGGTTGAAGACTAGAATGGTTCAATGTAGGGGCCCCCTGGTCCCTTTTGCCTTGGCCCCCCAAAGTCCAAAGCTAACAGCTGCACTCACCTCTGCTCTTTAAGTAATTTTGGAAACTTGTTGCAGCTGCAGGAGAGAAGGCTGATCCGTGACCCAACAACGCATCCAGGTGTTTAAACCACTTGCAGGTCCGCCAGTCAGAGCTGCTGTTCTGGTTGTTCTCCTCTTTTTTTCATATTGTATTGTTACATTACTTTAGCTTTAACCAGGCAATATTGCCCGGTATGAAGAATGTTCCGTAACGTACACCTTATCATTTTGGTTCGGTTTCCATTCCACACTGGACGTTGTACCCAGCAAAAATGCCAAGCAAGGTCTGGACTTCCTTGTTGGTCAATCATTCATACATTTTCTTCAAGTTCATCATGAGGCTCAAAAATTTAAACAGTTGGTTTGCTGCTTCAGGTTTTCTAAAAATTTGTTCCAACTAATCAGTAAGATTCCGCCTCGCAAGGGTCAGTTTCCAAGGTGAAAAAATGTACCTTGAACTTTATTTTGTCCCTGGTCCTTATGGCTTCTAGTTCTGGTGGAAAGGTCCTGTGGTCCAAACCTGTCTTCATTTGCTCTTGTTGAAAGTTAGGAAAATTGAAACAACTCCTGTTTATGTCCTTGTGTATCCTACAGTATGTGACAATGGAAACCAACTAGTCTTGCTGCAAATCCCTGCAAAAACCAGTGTTATTATGTTGTTTTCTGTGAAAGCTAATCGGCCGCAAGCCAAGCAGCGAAACCTGAAGTAGACAGACTGAGGAAGAATATTGAATTGTTTCTTGACAGCTCCCTGCGTGTCATTTTTCAACATGAATGAGGCCTGCAGATGGCAAATGAGGTTGCTATGCACCAATGTCCCTGTATTGAACACGGAGGATATGGATGGAAAAAAGTCTAGTTAATCACATGTTGTTGGAATAATGGCTCTTCAGAAAGTAAAAGGGGTCCACTGTTGCACAGGAGCTTAATACAAACATAACACTGATCCTCTGTTGTTGAAATCTCTAAAAATCCACACATAGTAATTATTAAGTTTTCATGTGGAGCACAAATTCTAACCCAACTCATATTTTAACAGTTTTTTAATGATATGATGGAAAAGGGTGCAGAGTGATTCACAGACATCCCTCAGTCGTAACCTGATTACGTGTTATGAACTGTGTGCTGTATATTTCCATGCCGTGATGCTGTTATGTAGTTTTGTGTCTGTGTTGCCTTTTTATTAGAAATATATTTTCAATACATCCATGAAAAGATTTAAATTGCTGTTATTTTAACCTGTGAGATGCCATGTACTTCAGGTTATTTAGAATCTCATGTTTATAACACACATGAGCATTTAGAATTTTTATGTTTAAGCTTTTGCAGTGTGTGTTCCTGCCTCCATATCCTCCCCCATTATGCCACGTTTGCACGTATAAATCATACAATGAATGATAACCAAATTCATGACCATAGCTATATTTATGTAAATAAACGCATGCAATAGGATCATGCTATGCACATATAGAACACATGTATCATATGCTTATATGCAAGCATTGGTAAACATGTATGCACAGACACACAAACAAAACTACAAACACATTGTATACATAAAATCCTTATTAAGAAAGATTCCAAGGGATGCAAATAAAACTTAGACCCAGTAGGCTCATAAGCATGACTATAAAATGATGGTCGTCTTGGCACTGTTGAAACAACAGAAGAAATCTGTGACAGAAGAATAAGCTCATATTATGAATGCACATCAGTATAGGGCTGTAACTCTCATCCTGATAATCCACGTCCTCATGTGCTGCTGAGCTCGCCCTCTTAAGACAGCCTTCATCAGACCAAAATGAACCTGGCAGTGACAGTAATAAAGTGCTCCATCTGCGCCTGGCAAGCCGAGGCAAATGAACCAATTAAGGCCCGGTGAAGTCTCCTCCTTCACCTACTGGTGATGGCGGCCGTCATCTCCATCATGATGAAAAGGAGAGAGTGCAAGGGTAATTAAATACCAGCAGGGGCCAGGGGGGTAAACCTAATAACTCTCTGTAACAAGCCAATAAAATGCCTTATTGCTTGAGGGTTCACACAACCCAGAGCGTGGTAATGGTGAAGGAGACCACTTACTGCACACAGCCATTCATATATGTTCACAACATTGACCTTGTGGAGAGATTTCCGCATTAGCTCGCAGACAAAGTGCAAAAACCTCTTATGGCACCTTGTGTCTGCCACAGGGATATTTTCTGCTTGAGTCAGAAGAGGCTTTCATGTGAAGTCAAAAATACTTGGTTGTCCTGGGTGCAGGCTATAAACAGTAATCCCTGTTGTAGCATGTTGCCATCTGCTGGCAAAAAAGGACTTGTACAACTGTATTCAGCAGCATCTGTGTATGAGTGGCACAAGAGTCTTTACAGGGTTTTATGCTTGATTTATTCAAATGTGTCTTTGAATAAAGTTAAACAGCGATTTAACCTGTGGTGAATGTGAATAGTCCATTGGCTGGTTTGATTTTAGGCTGACACAACTTTCAATTGTTTTTGTTGTGTTAGTGTATCCTAGTGATTGCCCCCCCCCTGCCACTGGTTGTGTGTGTGTGTGTGTGTGTGTATGTCGCTGGCCCCTATTTAAAATCAATTCATAAATAAAAAGCAAACAAAACATCTTTTAACAGCGTTCCTGCAGTGAAATATACATGTAAATAGAAACTGTTCTTTTGTTTTAATGGCATGAGGCAGAAAATCTTACCATCTGTGAAACAAAAGTCGAGATAAATCCCTATTCCTAAAATAAAACATACTGAAACATCTCTTGTTTATCTTTATG